AGTTGACAGATGGATAGAGCCAAAACAATAGGACAAGAATCTTTTCACAAGGTTTCTCCACCAGCTCTCACCAGATCTGCGAAAATCGTATTGACAACTTGCAACAAATGAATAATAGGTGACTGCATTTTAGTCTTTAAACTTTCTCATTTTGAAGCATTCGAGGCTTGATTATTATTAGACTCTTCTCATGCATAATGTCAAGCTTGCTTCAGGAAATGTGATTTTGAGGTTTCAGAACCACGGGTTACCTTGGTTTCAAGAAACAGGTTTTCTGAAGAAAATTATGAAGAATCGGAAATGATTAGCCGGAAGGCTTGGAGGAAGATACTTAAACTGTTAAAATGCCCTATCTGTGCGCCATTCAACCTTTGCCACGTAACTGGAAACTTTTCAAAAAAAATTTCGAATTTAGGCGCGGCAGCGCAGCCATTTGATGGGGAATTATTATGTGTTTGTGATTTCTACTTGAGAACATACGTAGTAGAAAGAGGAGAAAAAGCTACATGGATCAATACTAAGAACTTCTACTGGTCTCGATCTCACTGGATGTGGTGCTTAGTCAAAGTATGTGAAATCTCATTCGGGACGACCTGATATATTCCACCAACCCTACTAAATGGACCAAAATGCTGTGAATATGCAGAAATCGCTTGTTACCGTAACCAAATGAAATGAAGTAACACACGAGGCATAAAAAGCTAAACGCAAAAATACAGAGAGCACTTTCAACGAACTTCTTCATGATACTCTTATACGCTCTCTGCAGAAACAACAGATTTCTAGCTACATTTTTAGACTAATGCAAGGCCTGATAAAAATTTTCTGCCTAATTACGTTGTCCCAAGATTTCCTTTCGTTTTTTTGACACAATCAAAGATAGATCAACGAGGAACATTTTATTTGTATCCACCACCGTGTTTTCCCAAATTCTCTATATAAGGGACCCGTCATACTTCGCCGAAAAAAGCCCAAAAAAGCCCGAAAAAGCCCAAAAAAGCCCGAGAAAGCCCAAAGCCCAAAAGCGCCAGAAAGAGCCGGAACACTTTTCGCACGTTTTGGCGCTAAGGCATGTGTGTTGACTTCGCAATCGAGCCTTTTTGTCATTTTCTGTCGTCCGCATGATAAGATAATGTCGGAATTCACCAAAAGTTCGTTTCTACATTCCGGCTCTTTCTGGCGCTTTCGGGCTTTTTTGGGCTTTTTCGGGCTTTGTTCGTACTATTCCAGTACGAATTCTTTAGATGAATTACGATCCGCAAGTAAAATATTTATTCACAACTTGCACAATGACAAAGACATATGTTTCTATAATTTTGAGTTGCCTTACCTAGTGTGATTTGCCATTTGCCAGGTTCCTCGCCTGTCAGGGACGAGGCAGCTTGCCCATCTTACCTCCCCCTCCCCCCCCCCCGTTTCCCTCGGTGTACTTCTGCCTTTCCTCCAAAGGTTGCGATTTTTATTACCCTTTCTACTCCTATTGGCAGCGATAATCTATTAGCTAGGCTTTTTGTGATGAATGATTGATCCGCTGCTGAATCCAGCAACCCTATAACGGTTTCTAGCTTCCCGTTACCGTGATTGAGTACTTGAATAGGTACAGACATGAGACGAACTTGTTCTTGTATATCTAAGTCCTCAAATTGTGGCAGTTGATTGTCCGATAACTCCTTCCCTTCGTCATTATTCTCAGTGTTTAGTGTCGCAAAATGTATATTATATCTACGATCTTTACTTGGGGGTTTGGAAAAATGAGGTTCACTCGTAATTTCTTTATGTTGGTCTTTCCAACTCACGTGAAATGGTTTGGGCGAATTCCTTGTAGCTGTCGTCCTTTCACTGGAGCTGCTGCGTGATCTCAACACTGTTTTTTTGGGAGGAGTGTCTCTTCTTGTCAGGCTTCTGGAAATTCTTCTTGGGCCTCTGGAGAATCTTCTTGGAGTCCTGGAAAGTCTTCTTGATCTATCTGTAATGTGTGTATAGGTGTTTTGTGGCGTTTGATTGTATCGACAAACTACTATGTTGTGGTATCCACCACATTTGGGACAGTTCGCGCGCTCACACAATTTCGTGTGATGCTTGGGACTAAAGCATTTCCAGCAAGCTTTTGTTATCTTGAGGCGTTCAATTTTTTGTGGAGGAGTTCTGTATTTGGTACAGTTTTTGAAGTAATGATTTCCGTTGCATCCAATGCATGTGGTATTTCTTCTTGTGTTGGTTGATCGTCCATGTGCTCCTCTATTGGTTCTTCTCGGTCGGGTTGCGACATGTCTGCAATTGTTTTGATAAGTTACCTAATTTCTTGTAATTGCATAGGAGCAAACATCGAGCAAAAACATTGAAAAAGCAAACAGCAAACATTGAGCAAAATCAGAATTTTTGTATGATACGAATTGAATGTTTGAAACGAAAAAATGGGATTCTAAAAGAAAGTTTCAAAAGCTTAAGGAGAATGACGGCCGCTCTCAATGGCGGAATCAAGCTAATGATCGTCGATGTTGATACGACTTTGCCTTTGGTTTTGTTTTCTTTCGCACTCGCTGAGCACTTGCTCAGATAGATCGCGCTGATAACTACCAAGAATGTCAGCGCGGCGAACATGGCTACAGTATACAGCACGTAGCTTTCGTAAATATCGAGGATGTGGAAGAAATCAGGAAATTCGAAATCGAATAATTCATTGCCTTTTGTAGTATTACCCCATGCTTTTACATAATGAATGAATGGTCTTATGTCGTTGATATAGTTGAGCGTTCCTTTTATGTCAAAAACGAGGCGTTGTTTGCCACATTTTACTTCGCACTGCTCTTTAATTTGCGCCATATTGAAGTAAAGCCGAATATTGTTTTCTTCACCTTCTTGAGAGCAGCTGATCAAGAACTGAATCATTTCGGGCTTCTTTGGGCGCTTTTGGGCTTTTTTGGGCGCTTTTGGGCTTTTTTCGGCGAAGTATGACGGGTCCCTAACAAGGGAAGGATACTTGCTCGAAGCGGCGTTGTTATATGAAATGTATATTGTCAGAGCCTAGAACGCTGATTCCAAAATCTGCCTTCCCTATCAGGAAAGCACTTCTGAGAGGGGAATTATGGGAATTTTTTGAGGTAAAAATTCAAGAGTTTGGCTAAGGTAAAAACAGGTGTTGAGGTCTCTGCGGCCTTTTAAAAGGAGCACTGACTGACATGAGTTTACTAGAATGAAAATACTGATTGCATAGAACGCCGTGGGAGTAATCATGACCCTATCTGAACTCACGGATTACAGTACCGAATAACTTTACTGTAGCGGCGCGTGTAATTCTTTGCATCAAGAAAAATCCCCATATTCATCCTCCTAGAAGCGCTTTGCACATAGCGAAAGCAGATTTAAAAACAGTATTCCATGCTCTATAAGATAGGTGCATTTCATATAGAAACGCCACTTAAACCAAGTATCCTTGCCTTGTAAAGCGTATGTTATCAAAAGAAATTTCCAAGTGCCTTCTGATGGTCCGCTTTTGTGATTAATGATTTCTCGTATGCTAAGATATGCACTGATTTCCAAAATCTTTAACCCAGATTTTTCAGAAGATTTAGTAATAATCAGTGCAAAACCTGGGCTTTACTATATTGCTTTTGAATCCAGTTTTGCTTTAAAGACGCAGCCTGGAAATGTCGCTTTTTCGGCAGATTTCGAGAGCACATATATGAAGCTGAAGATTTTCAAATCTTTTCTAAGCAGAGTAACTGAGTCTAGATCTTCCCAAAAAGGCCTTTTTTTGTTACTTTTTGGTGGGCAAGCGCAAAAAAACAAAATTTCTCGAACTGACTACCTTCTTTAGATAGTTGATTTGAGATATCTAAAATAACTGCAATATCGATGATTGTAACTGCAGAATAGAAATCGCAAACATCTTTAGAATTCAAATGCACTTGTTATTTGTCGAGAGGAGCACGGCAGAACTCTTAAAGCTCTTTACCTGATATCCAAACCAGATTTAGAGCCTTCAAAAAATCAGCTCCAAATTCTGTTGCCATAACAGGTAAGATCAATAAATGGACATAAAAATTTGGCTGAGTCATTTTCGTCATCAGTGGAACTTAGTTAACTCACAAATCCATTTTCGCGCTTATACAGCCATTCTTTCTAACAAATATTTTACAGAGAACGACGGACTACATTGCAAATATGGATATGCTTCATCGGTGACTAGAGCTTGTTTGTATCCAGTCAAATCCATTGTGAACAAGTTGTGTTTCGGTTGACTGTATCTCTTTGATAACACATTGACGACCATGCAGATATTTAGTTGTCTGCCTTCTGGGACCAAGGCCTTTTACAGACCAGCCGGCATTTTCAACTATAATCACGCATACTGCCACCTAAACTAAACCTACAGTAGATCTGAAAGGCTAACAAAAAAGGTAGAAGTCATGCCTTTAGTGCAAAGGAAAGCTTGTGGAGTGAGTTTATCCCAGAATAGTAGCTATTCTAACAAAATTCAAGCCTTGACACACATGGTGTGTCAGGCGGTCCCACGCGGTAGTCATTGCTTGACACACCATGTGTGTGTGTCAAGTGGTCGTCAGTTTGTTAATGGAGAATAATCATTAGGAGAAAGATAAAGGCATATCGCATTTTGTTTTCCACTTCACATGGATCAAAATTACCACGTTGAGCTGACGTTTTTATCCCCAGCGGGTCTTTTCATTTCAACAACAATCAAGCAAGGATCTGAGTACGTTCCTTTTGATCCCGTGCAGAAATTAGCCTGTTCTGTATTCTTAGCTTCAACTAAAGTGCCGATATATGCTTTTCTCGCACCTGAGAATGACAGCGTCAGAAGCTTGCATGAACAAGGAAGAGCTGGTAAGATGTCTTGCAAGAGCTCAACTTCCCAGCTGAGCTTCTCTTCTCAACAAAGGTAGGGACATAGTTAGAGTGACACTTCGAATCGTAGGGAACACCTCGCTCTTACAACGTGTAACTGAACAAACTAGAAAATTTATACTAGGAATTTTACAAAGGCATGTACATTGTTAACACATGAAGCTATCTTAGATGTTGCTTTGAAAATTGCGTGCCTACCTTCCACTTGATTTCCCACCAAAAAGTGATAAAATGTATCATTTACGATAGCACTAGCGACAGCTCTACAATAAAAATTTCAAATACACTTTTAGCAACGCATTGGTTAGTAACATTTTCTAACGAACCCAGTGGTGAATATGACAAAAGAAGGAGAGCTCAAAACCGCAAAAGATGGAAAAGCACTATTGTCGCGCATATATGCTCCATAATTCACAATAAACTGGATTATCGAGTGTTTATCGGAATATGCAATTAGCTATCTTCTTGAAAAGTTCCTTGTCGTAATCCTCGATTGCATTTCGCACTTCGCGATATTCCCATAGTCGTCGCACTATATCTGTTATGGGTGTAGGCGTTTCCTGTAATTGGAAAAAAAAATAATAACAATTTTTTTTATGCTTTGCTGACTCTTCACTTTTGTACGTGGCGTTCTTTAGCAATTCTTTGGCACTCTGTACTCTACATTATGAGGTACGAACCTTGCCATTATCTGTCATACTCTTCCATTGCATGCAAAGGCTACGGTAGGTATACAGTAAGGCAGCTTTTCTGACTGAAACTTGGTGTAGGGTTGTTTTCTGGCCACAAAAATGATACTTTCGCATGAAAGTGTCCTTCCGATGTGATTACTGTATGGTTTGATGTCTATCTTGACCAGGCAAGGAAGCATGACCTCAACTCGTATATTAGTCGTTTCAGCAAGTGGAACAACCACACAGTTGAGGTCATGCAAGGTCTCGGCAAACTCTAAAATTTTGGTTCCTTAGCAGGGCTCGGCACGAGGTGGCTAGTTGAAAATGCAAAAAACGAAGTCTCCCTTGACTTCGCCACAAAAGTAAGACATCCCCCTTGACACGTTAATAAACAAATCAAAAATGAAAACAAAAAGAATGAAATAGAATAGAAGACCAACAAAAAAGGCAATAAGAACCGGTGATTGTTTGTATTATCGGGATTGGCGGCATGCTGTGTCCGCCGCGCACCACCGCGAGCTTGGAGCACCTTTGCCGCTGCCATCCAGATAATTTGGAGGGCTATAACTAGGCGGGGAGGAGAGGGTTTGAGGAGGTACAAGAGCTGTTTTGTAAAACATTAAATGTAGATTACCTTTATGTAAAAAAATTGAAAAAATTATGTGAAGAATAGGAATTATATGACTTTGTTTGCGCTAAGCCACCTCAGGTGGCTATCCAGGTGGCTTGAAAACCACCTAACCCCGAAAAAAGTTTGCCATGCCCTTAGTTCACATAATTTTTTCATAATTTCTCATACAAAGTCCCAACTCCCCATTGCCCATCTACACACCTATTTTGGTGCCATTTCATCTTCACTTCGCTGTAAACAAACCCTTTGTTCATTTGCTGGCGGCATGCCGGCAGCGTGCCGACAGCAGATCGAAAGACAGCGTTATGCTCTTCCGCAAAAACGATACCCTCTTTGCTTTTTCCCCCAAACACGATATCCAACCTGTGCCGAGCCCTGCTAACTATTTGTACATGAATACTCGATTTCGATTTTCTCCACGACAGACAACCCAAAGCTTCAAATTTTCGAATACGCTACAATTTTGTACTATTTTTCAACTTACATCTGCGGAAGTGGATGCGGAATACTGTCCGGATGTGGATGCCTTATTTGACGGTGTCCTCACAGAAGATGGACTTCGGCTTATTGGGATTTGGCCATGTTTTCGCTGGAATTACGATTGCATATCCATTCATGACAAGGCTATTTAGATGCATGTCATTTCGGAAAAGAGCATATTTCGCAGTATTGAGTTTGCGTAGTATTTCCTTGTCGTTGATGGGTCCTTTGGTCTGTATAAATTGAGATATATCCTAGGAGGTGTTTACAGAAGTCAACTCAATTTGCTCAAAGAAGTTTCAACGCAAACTAGCAAAATCGCTTCAGAAAACATAAGAGAGGTGGGCATACAGTAGATCAGCAGGGTGAATTTGCTCTGAGCTTTGCCTAGAGTTCTCGAGCATGCTATATAGGAATCTCATCCAAGTGTTGAACATAATTAATGCGCTAATTTCGCACCACAAGGCTTTTTTATGGATTTTTGGTATCTAAAATGGCCTGCAAAGCGAAAAGGATTTCATTTATACAGGGTGTCCCAAAAAATGTGCACACTGTTTGCTTGTAAATAACTCTTTTGTAGTGAAGTGTTTCGACAAGCTTTAGATACCATTTTGTAGAGCGAGGTTCAACTTACAAGGAAACGGTGTCGAGTCGAAGTGGCCTTTCCAGATGAGACCCATACAGCTTGAAAGAGTATTAAACGGTGATTCCAAATCTGCCTTCCAAATCTGCCAAGCGCCTCTGGACCCCGAGTTATGACCGTTCTTCGGAACGAAAAATGAATGCAGAATTTAGGTAAAATTGATTGTTACAATCATTCCAGCGCTCAGATAAAGCAATATCAAGTATTATCATATTGAATAAAATGTATCCATTGCATAAACAGCTCTGATACTTGACACTGGACCATTTGAGCAAATTTGGGCGATTTTGCTTCAGTTATGCCTTCAATTTTTTGACCTGAAAAACGAGCATAACTCGGTGTCCAGAAGCGCTTGGCAGATTTGGAAAGCAGATTTGGAATCACCGATTAATGCTCTTCAAAGCACTATGGGACTCATCTGGAAAGGCCAATTCGACTCGACACGGTTCCCTTGTTAGATTTACAGCGTAGAGCGGATCGCCGATCTCTCATTCTTACTGTAGGATTACGGTAGAAACTTTGAAGAGGTTTTTGAGCCACGAAAGGCCACATTTTGTTCCAAAAAGAAACCGAAGCAACCTGAAAACTCTCACACTGGGCTAACTAGAGTTGCTGATTCTAAATGTGAAGTTCGCAACTCTTCGTACTGCTTCATTAAAAAATATGCGAGGTAAGCAGTAGCAGACGTTTTTTAAGTGTTCCTAAAAAGTGCGGTTACACCGTTTAGAAAGCTTCTCAACCTTGTAAAAAGTCGAGTATTGAACTCAGGGTCCATGAAAACTCTATTACACAAATTTTTACATTTTTTGAAAATTTTTGAAACGGCCGCTTTTTTCACCGTGACACCATATGTTTGAAGTTTCTACCGTGCTCCTACAGTAAGAAGGAGCGATCGGCGATTCGCTACACTGTAAATCTAAGTTAAACCTCGCTCTACAAAGTGGTACCTAAAGCATCTCGAAACACTTCACTACAAGAGAATCATTTACAATCAAACAGTGTGCACACTTTTTGGGACACCCTGTATATTTTATTTTACCACAGCTGCAATTTACCCATATTAATGGGTAATTGCAGCAAGCGAGCATGATGTTCGTGGTCAGCATACGCAAAGAAGGTGTTAAAGTTAAAAGTTAGGGCGCTGTTCCGCTATCCGGGCCCCAAAATTTTTTAGCCATGGATTTTGCTCAAAATCAGCCCAGGGGGGTTATCTGACGTGCTGACCACGACTATCACATTTTCTCCGCAGGAAAACGCCTCCCTGCAAGGTTACGGTAGGTTTACGGTAGAAGTCAAAATCACAAATTGGCAAATGTATCTTTCCCCTGTGCTTTGCTTAGACAAAAGCCGCAGCACGGTGTGTAGCGTGCGGCGGTGGTCGTGTGTGCAAAGCTTCACGATTGTTCGAATCGTCGTACATCCGTTTCAGGCAAAACTATAGCTATTCGAGAAAATGAGGCTACGGTTCAAAATCAATGTGATATTTGGCATCAGCGAGCCGAGTAACCCCTCTAGGCCAAGTTAGGCAAATCCGTGATTTTGACCCCCTACCGTATACCCACCGTAACCGCACAGGAAGGAGTCCTCACGCGGAAAAAACGTGATATTCGTGATCAGCGTGCCAGATAACCCCCCTGAGCAAGTTTGGGCGAAATCAATGGCGAAAAAATTTTGGGGCCCGGATAGCGGAATAGCGCCAAAGTTAGTGCTCTCTAGGCAAAGTTTTGAGGAAAGTTGGAATACTGTAAAGTCGATTGCACGAAATCGCCCGGGTCGCTGTAAGCTGAACGCACGCAAGCGTGCCTGCAACGCGGCTGCCGAGTACGTGCTCTAAATCTATATATACATAAAACTCAAAATTGTGAGTTTGGAGGCTATGTGCGCTATAGAAACGCGCGCCGCTCAGCCGATTCAGCTGAAACTTTGCACACATACGTTTTCGACCCCTGCGCAGATGATAGGCTACTTTTTGCGGCGATTAGTTGGGTCCTTCTATCGCTTTAATAATTTGTTTACGTTTTTCTAAGGAATGGAAGGCTTATCATGTTTGACAAGCATTTTCTCATTGTATGTAAAGGAGAGCGGTGAAGTTCATTTCTACCTCAGGATCACGAGGATGCAGTGAACCGAAATGGGCGCCGCAAGGTAGGTCATTCGTATGAAAAACGGGGGGGGGGGGAGGGGGTTGCAGTGCGGTAGTTTTGCTGGCAACCGCACCATCTACTTCATCTGTGAAAAATACCCCGGGCTGGACCGGGGAAGATAACTAGTGACTCATAAACGCGAATGCTAATGTTAGCCCGCAAGAGACACGGTCGCGGGCGTTCTGCAGGGCAAGTTTGAGCATTGCATTCTAATCTGAGACCCGAGGCTAGCAGCGCTACATCCTCCAGAATCCTTACGTTTCAGTTTCGTGAGAAAGTACGAATTATGCGGCTTGGTGAAGGAAAGGTGAGAAGAGCTCACATTTTTACGTGGAAGATCATTTACGACATCATCGTCCTTCTCTAGGATGCGGTCCTGTCTCCTGTACATGAGCCCGCGCTGTCTCTGTAGAAACAACTTTCTAAAGCGAAAATATTATGCCTTGGCCACGGAGACGAAAGGATCTACGCGCTAAATGAGCTGTTTCCACAGATCTATAGCTACGATGTCGAGCGAAAGTGGTTGATAAAAAGAAGAGATATATAATCAAGGCTCTTATATAGGCTGCAGTGGCGTACCCAGGATTTCGGCTCGGGGGGGGGGGGGGGGGGGGCGCGACAAAAATTTTTTTCTAAAGAAGGTGCGTGGCGTTAGCCACGCACTCTGAAAAATTTTTTGGGGTGCTTCTCAAAATTTTTGCGGGTCCCCGACCCTAAAATCTGGAAAAAGGGGGCGTGGCGTCAGCCACTCCCCCGAAAAAATTTTTTTTATAAGGCTAAAATGAATTTTCAAAAAATTTTAAAATTATTTTAATTATTTTCAAGTGCAGACAAGTCATTTGCACAATTTTATAACCCATGTAAGTAACTTTCAAAAATTTCGCGACCCGTTCTCGGGGGGGGGGGGCGCGCGCCCCCCCCGCCCCCCCCCCCCCCCTCGGTACGCCACTGATAGGCTGAACACAATTAGTAGATCTTCAGAAACAAAGCGTAGTCAATCGAATGACTATGTGGGGTCAGGTATGAATGACGCTGATTTCAATCAATAAATTCTGGCGCTATTCGGCTATCCGGGCCCCAAAATTTTTTTGTCATGGATTTCGCTCAAACTTGGCCCAGGGGGGGTTATCTGACATGCTGATCACGAATATCGCCTTTTCTCCGCAGGGAAAACGCCTCCCTGCAGGGTTACGGTAGGTATACGGTAGGGAGCCAAAATCACGGATTTGTCCGAAACTTCGTCCAGAGGGGTTATTTGGCATGCTGAACACGAATATGATGTTTATTTCGTGCGACAGAGCCATCCGGTGGAGTTACGGTAGGGACTACGGTACAGGGTGTCAAGATCACGGATTTGCCCGAAACTTGGCCCAGAGGGGTTATTCGGCCCACTGATGCCAAATATCACATTGGTTTCGAACCGTAGCGTCATTTTCTCGGGTTACGGTAGCTACACGGTAACGTGTGAAACATAGTTCTGCCTGAAACGGGTGTACGGCGATTCGGACGATCGTGAAGCTTTGTATACGCGACCACCGCCGCGCGTTACACACCCTGCTGCGGCTTTTGCCTAAGCAAAGCACAAGGGAAGATACATTTGCCGATTTGTGATTTTGACCCCTGCCGTTAACCTACCGTAGCCATGCAGGGAGACGTTTTCGTGCGGAGAAAGTGTGACATTTCTAATCAGCATGTCGAATAAGCCTTCCGTGCGAAGTTATAGCGGATTTTGAGGTTTTGACCCCTTACCGTATACCCACCGTAACCCGAGAAAATGACGCTACGGTACAAAACCAATGTGATATTCGGCATCAGCGGGCCGAATAACCCCCCTAGGCTAAATTTCAGCCGAATCTATGATTCCGACCCTCCACCGTATACCTACCGTAACCCTGCAGGGAGGCGTTTTCCTGCGGAGAAAAGGCGATAATATTCGTGATCAGCATGTCAGACAACCCCCCTGGGCCAAGTTTGAGCGAAATCCATGACAAAAAAATTTTGGGGCCCGGATAGCCGAATAGCGCCATAATTCTTGCCTACGGTTCATTTCCGCTCAAAATCTATGAGGCTTTTCCCTCCGAAAGCCTCATCGAACCACGGACGGTGTCGACAGCTTGAAGAGATTGTTGGAATAACGAGCAAGTTCAGCAAATATGATGTATACTAAATGCAACCATATCAATGGAAAAGACTAGAGGGAACCCAAAAGAGGTTCTTCTTTAAGCAGACTCGAACTGCAGCAATACAAACTCCAGATTTGATACGTGCCAAAAGCGAGGAAAAAAGATGAAGCTTGATAAAAATTTGTTGTGTAATATTGCGGAGATTGCACGACCGCAGTCACAGACAAAACAAGTAACCGCACGCTGGTGTCGAGCCCCTCCGCAGATATTCTCTTATTTTGAGAGTTACGTCCTCAAGGTCTTCGCATATAGTAAGTGTTGTTCTGTCTTGTTTATTATAAGAAAGCATGTGAGATTGAATACGGTTCATAAGTAACCTATGGGACGTGTGTCAGCAGCTCCGTCAGCATTACTAAAGCTGCACTCGTGAGAACGAATCTCCAAATCTGCAAGTCATGTCCAGTGATCCACCAACTTCTTCGTTTTCCCTGGAGTCTAGCGAGCCAGATATAGGGCTTTGCCAGATCGTAAAGGTCGGGCATTGCTCACACAGGATGCCACAAGGCCAGTTGAATTACCCCCTCCCCGCACTTTTCGAATCGCGTAAGCTAATCGAAAGCTAACATCTAGTAGCAAAAAAGCGTTTGACAGAAGGTAGAAAACTGGGAAAGCTAAGTGCGCGAGCATTGGCCGGCACAGCGACCTTCGGCAGGGTTCATACTGAGCCGCACAAAGCGGCACAGTTCCAGCACAGCGCTCGAACTGTGCTCGAACTGTGCCCGAACTGTGCTGCATGCGCAGTTGGAGTATTTTGACCGTCTCTGACGGTTTTTCTTCTAGGTTTCTCTCATTTCGGCCCTTATCCCTCTAACCCGCTTTTCCTTTTGATGAGTAGATCTCCGAGCGCAAAGCGGGGTTGAGGAATAAGCGCTGTTTTGCTTTGTGTGTCCATTATGCGTGTTGTTCCGCTCGTTCATGTCTCTTCGTTTTATCCTTGCATAAAAGTATTCCATTTGTTTCCAGGAGGCCGCTGCAATATTTTCGCAGGCATTTTTCTTGAAGAAGAGCAAAAATAGTGCAGAAGAGCAGGAAAGTCCATCAATCTGTTGGCCACTATTGGGCTCCTAGCCCCTTTTCGTTTTCATTTCATTGTTTTTTCGTTCTTTGTTCCCGGCTTTCCTTTTTGTTGTGTAGCGCTTCGAACTTGAAGGGGGGTAAACCAACGAAAGCGGTTGTGCTCCACGTATCCTCTCAGCCGCGTTCTTTTTCCATTTCACTGCTTTTTCGCTCTTTCTTTTACCCCGCTTCAAGTTCGAAGCGCTACACAACAATAAGGGAAGCGGGGTAAAACAGTAAACGAAAAAACAATGAAATGAAAACGAAAAGGGGCTAGGAGCTTAATAGTGGCCAACAGATTGATGGAAGTTCCTGCTCTTCTGCACTATTTTTGCTCTTCTTCAAGAAAAATGCCTGCGAAAATATTGCAGCGGCCTGAAACAAATGGAATACTTTTATGCAAGGATAAAACGAAGAGACACGAACGAGCGAACAACACGTATAATCGGACACACAAAGCAAAACAGCGCTTATTCCTCAACCCCGCTTTGCGCTCGGAGTTCTCTCATCAAAAGGAAAAGCGGGGTAGAGGAATAAGGCCCGAAATGAGCGAAACCTAGAAGAAAAACCGTCAGAAACGGTCAAATACTCCAACTGCGCATGCAGCACAGTTCGAGCACAGTTCGAGCGCTGTGCTGGAACTGTGCCGCTTTGTGCGGCTCAGTATGAACCCTGCCTTCGCGATCAGGCAACCTTATAAGATTTGGATCATAGGGTAGGTAGCCAGGCATCAGACCGATTAGCCGCTTCGTCCAACTCAACCTTTTTGCTGTTGGTCAGATCAGTGCTTGAATAGCGAATTGGACGAAGTGGCTAAGCGGATAAGTCTGGCGCCTGCAGTAGTTGTCATGCAGTGTGCTTGGAAGCAGAGAACGGGCGTTAAAGGCAATGTCTAGGCAAGACTGGCCACCTGAGTCTTTCTGCTGGAAACTGATGAGGGGGTCCTGATTAAGTCTGCGCTCATACTGATCCGGAAGTTTGGGAACATCTCCAGCTCGAACTGAGCGTTGTGCTGGAACTGTTCTCGGACTTCGGGATCAGTATGAACGCAGCCTTAGGACCCCCTCATCAGTTCCCACGCTAAACACCCATGTGCCTAGATTTGCTTGGACACTGCCTTCAAGATCGATGTCCGAATGATGAAGATGATGACGAAGCTAGACTCATGCCTTTATCCAAAATATAAACCCTGTCCCAGCTCTCAGGCGTAATAGACTGCATGGATTTCTGATCTAAGGCGCGTGATGATGTGATGATGTTTTCATTTTTGAACGCTGCACTTCTATACGTGCTTGATTCTGCGCAAACTCTTATCTTGCTTTAGCTCATTGTGAAGACATTTCAGACGTTGTCCATGTTCCATATATCAAGTGCTTTTAACGTGATTAAATCATGACAAAATTGGTGGAGAAACGGAAGGCAGGTAGTTGTTGTTATTACTGAAAAGGTTTATTGTAGTTTTTTTTATTAAATAATAATAGTCGGTGCATTCAGTCAACAGAGAAGTCAATGGGATACAAGATCAAAGGATACAATCTGTCTCAGTGCTGAATCAGGAGTCTTCGGAATCAACAGTCAGTGCATTTCGAAATCATTTCAGTGATATATACTCCAGACTTTTCCGATATATTTTGGAATTCTTCATGTCGTCCTTTGTAGCTTGTTACTAGCTTTGCTGCAAAATTGCTCTCCAAAATCATTTTTTAATTTCGTGGTTTTGATATGACCTTAAAGGCAGCGTCCGGGCAGATATGAAATTTTTGCATACAGGAGCTTCCACCCTGGTAAAGCCCTTGCCCAACTGGCAGCGCACTAATTTGCTTCTGAAGTGAGAAAACCGCTTCAGAAGTGGCGACACGGACGCCCCGGCGACATGCCCGCCCCTCAATCGATAGCCAGAGTACGCGTATATCGCACACAGTCAAGGCGTAGGGTCCCACCGCGACTCTGCGTCTTAACCTCGGCGGCAAGCTTCCATATTCAAAATAAACAGCCTCTGGAATAGCCCATTTTCGACGTTTTCGTACTCTGCAAGCTGCATTTTCGCAATCAGCGGGAAGAATAAGCCCAGATATGCGAAAAAAGTTTTGTTCGAAATTTTGCCTGGACGCTGCCTTTAAAGCCGTCTAGTGGTGAACAAAAAAAGCTTGTGATATCAAAACAGAAATCACTTGCTTTGCACTGAATGGATGCGCGGCTCTAAGTATTCTATAGCAGGACGTTTTTGGAAGAATTCACTTGCCCATTCATGATGTGAAGCATCAGATAATGGATGTTCTTCATAAAAATCAAACGACCATCCTCATTGGAGAAACCGGATGTGGAAAAAGTACACAAGTACCACAGGTTCGTGAAGTTCAGAAAGTTTTAGAGCGGAGGGAAAGGTTTCGATAGTAGCTTCATGAAAGTTCTTCATTATGATATAAATATTTTAGTTTTGTGTCCGTATGGGACTCGCAAAGAATGGCCGCATAGGCGTAACACAACCACGGCGTCTTGCAGCTGTTTCTCTCGCACATCGCGTAGCATGGGAGATGCATTCTCCTTTTCGGGAAAAGGTAATAATTTCGTATAAGCTTTTCTATGTTGCTTGGGAAGCCTCACATTGTTTAGTTGCTACTGTTGGGTCGTTTTCATTATTCCTTTTGAAAAAATTATGTATCAAAAGCTTAGAATTGGTATCTTAGGTCGGATACCATGTTCGTTTCGAGAAGGAGCTATCCAATAGCGCGCAAATAGTCTTTCTCACTGATGGTATTCTACTAAGGGAGGCTATGCATGATCCTTTACTGAGAGAATACGACACGATCATAGTAGATGAAGCTCACGAACGAAGTCTCAATACTGATATTCTTTTGAGTGAGTCCGTAAATCCATCGCGAGTTTACACAAAGTTACGTCTACAAGCTATTGCTGCTTTAGACGTGTTGCGATTATGTCAGAGACAACGAAAGGAGTCCAGCTTACGTCGTCTGCGGTTAGTGATCATGTCCGCTACGCTTGAAGCTAAACTGTTTTCCTCATACTTCGATAATGCTCCTGTTTACGTCATCAAAGGCCGTACTTTTCCGGTTGAGGTAAGGTTGAGTATGTTGGATGTTCATTTTGAGCGAAAAAGCGATTCCTCAGTTATACAGCTTTTTCTCATGAGTTCTTCTTTTCACAGATTTTCCATGCTGAAGTGAATCCTGACAACTCTGATTACATCTACAACACACTTGTCTGCATCAAAGACCTCCACCAGGACGAACCCCTGAGGTACATATGCTAGTTGCAGTCGTGCTGTCTCCCTATGCTTTCAGTTATAATTTCCGGCTAATCTATTTCGTTATTATTGCATGTTTTTTCTATACAACTTATGTTTAGTGACCACTTTCTCGTCTTTCTCACCGGTCGAGAGGAAATTGAGATGGTTGCCAGAAAACTGCGTGAACTCAACAAATACTTTGCTGCACCAATTTATCCTGTACCTCTGTTTGCAGCAATGAGTGCCACTTCTCAGATGAAAGCATTTGAGCCTCCACCTGAGGTAAGGCCTTAATTGGTTGAACTCGTAATTAAGTTTTGAGCTGTTCAGGGCCATCGCAAGGTTGTGATAGCTACAAATATTGCGGAAACATCGCTGACTATTCCAGGAATAAGAGTTGTTATTGATTCAGGGAAAGTCAAAACGAGGTATGTGGTGCTCTTTGCTCAACATTGAGAGTGTTGAGCAAAGAGCGCCTATGCTGTGGTTTTCATTTCGAGATAGAACTCCAACATCAGATGCAAAATCTAACTGGTTTTTGCTGCGCAAAAATGCTTGTCACTCATGTGTTTTTGACATAAATGGCGTTGTTAGCTTAGAAATAAATGCAGACCAAAGTGGTTGATTAGGCGGTCTGTACTAGAGTAGTGGAGAGCTTTTTGCGGTTCTGACTAGCTGTTAAAAAGCCGGAGTTTTGAGATCATTTACTGCTGCTGAACGTATAGATGTGCTACGAGTCCATGACATCAGTAAAGCGCAAGCAATGCAACGAGCTGGGCGTGCAGGTCGCGAAGCTCCAGGAAAATGCTTTCGGTGAGTGCAGCTTGAACCTTTGACTTATTATTCATGTGCACGTTCCAGGCTTTACTCTGTCGAGACTTTTGGAAAAATGCAAGAATCTAGTATCCCTGAAATTTTGCGGAGCAACTTGGCAAGCGTATGTTTACCTCATCTAACCCTGCTTAGAGTCACTACCGCAGAAGCGTGTTTGGAGTTTGTGACTCGCTTCATAAGCATTATCCACCCAAATCAAAGGTGGTGAGATTTTGATGCTGTATAGAAGCGTGGCCTCTAACTAAACATTCCTCTAACAAGGGAAGTCACGTAACTTAGGTCGGCCTTTTGAAATGAGACACATACATTTATAATCAGCTCTTAACGCTGATTCCAAATATGCTGTGCTTAGCTGCGAAGCGTTCCTCTGAAGCGAGTTATGAGCTTATTAGCATGTGTCATTGACATACAACTGAATATGGAAAAAGGCTTGTAGACGGAATCTGCTCACAAACATGGTGGATAATCGAAATAACACCAGATTGAATCATTTGGCCTTGATAGGGTGTATCATGCATTTGGACCACTACCTAGACGATAAAATCGCAGCATCCGTTAGTTGGTCAACACGCAAACTTTGCTCAGGAAAAAGCTCATATAACTGGCTTCAGAGTAATGCTTCGCAGCTATGGATAGCAGATTTAGAATCAGCGTTTTGAGCTGATTCTGATTATAGGTGCCGCTTTTCAAAAGGCCAAACTAAGTTAGGTGACTTTCCTTGTAAGTCGCGCAATGGTTTCCGAAGCTAGAAAATCGTTCGAGAAAGTAGAAGCTGTCAAGGTGGGTCCGTCCATCAAAGTAAGTGGTCTTATAATGAGTAGGGTGGGCTTCATTGTAGGATAAATCGAAAACGTTAATCACGATGAAGGGTGGATTTATAACAGTTCTAGATCCATTAAAGCTTAATTTTTTACGTTGATGGGCGGAGTCACTTCGTATGCTTGTAAGCGATTTTCTCGCTTCGAAACACATCTTTGAAGAGGCATTTGCCATCGCCTAGCTGAGGGCTCCGTTGTGTTATGCAACATCAGAACTCATTATCTTCAGTTTGGGTGGACAGTGCCTTTGAACCAAATCAAATATTTGCAGTAGAAGTAAGTTGTGTAGATGTATTTCTTATGTGTTCAGGTGCTCTTGGAAATGTTAGCACTTGGTCTTCGACGTCCCCGGAAATTAAAACTCATTCAGCAACCAGAAATGGACAGTTTGATAGCTGCAGAGCACGAACTCTTGGTATGCGGGTTCCGTCGTTTGGTCTCAGATCAGTATGCGAAATAGTTTTTCAGTTTACCTCATCCCTTAGAAAAATCCTGCCATTATCATAAAACTTTGTGTTTATTTGTCGAACTTTCCCTTTTGTTTGGGTGTATATAAACTTCTCTGCTTTTCCCAATACCTTTTGTACAACCACAAACTTGTTCATATTTTTTAAACGTTTTTCAGGCTTTGGGAGCAGCATCACTCCATAGTAAGGAATTGAGACTGACTGAAATTGGGAAAATTTTATGCAAATTTCCTCTTACGCCGGATCAAGCCAGGTAAGGTAAAAAATGTAATGCAAAGAAATATGCGAAGGTGAGTGAATAGTTTTATAGGGTCCTCATTTTTGCGAATGACTTGTCCTGCGTGGAGGAAGCTCTCACTGTCATTGCTGCTATGTCTTGTGAGACAGTGTTCGATCAGGAGAGTCGAGGTGGAAGCGAAGACATAGAGCGTGCTCGAAATCGGTAGGACTATAAGAATTCATGTGTTTCTTTTAGTAGTACCAACTGCATATTTAGCAGCTTTTTGGAGTTTGTTCATTACGTTGCATTCCGTTGTCATTGGAAAAGTCTTCTCTCGAGTATTCCCAACTATTTTTCTGCATACCAACTGTCATGCTTGCTCCTCAAGAGAACAGCTTGAACCGATCTCAAATTAATGCATATTTTGTTCATAACTTGGAGCTCTGTTTTCCTGCTTACCCAAAAATCCTCGGAAATTGAAATTTTACTTTTCAGTTCCTAGTATTCTGAATGTATCTAGCTAGCGATGCGAACGTAATTGTGTTGGAAGTACAAGAGGTCGTTCCAGGTTCTCTTCAAGCGCGGGCGACCACCTAACAATATTAAATGTCATCCAGGCGTTCAAACAGCAGAAGCGATCGAACAGCAGCCGATTAAAGGTTTATCGAAGCTCGCCCACGTTGCCGTTGCATCACTCAAAAACCATTTTAGGAATGGTGTAGCAGCAATTATGTCAATTTCAAGAATCTAACTATGATTTTAAAAGTGCGGAAACAGCTCCATCAAATCGCCAGTGAGTGTAAGATGCATATCACGTCCTGCGGTGCGCAACGCGATAAGTTGAGGTGGGATAAGTCGTATAATATTCGATCACTTTCTTCTGCTCTTTTCTTAGTGAGGAACTTCAGTTAGATTGATCAGTTTTGAACGATTAGCTTAGAATGAAGCAGTTGCATAAGTATGCGTGATTTTTGAGGGGTTTTGCTTGAAAGTTGTTTTATATTTTTGGATATCACATGTTCAGGAGTTTCTGTTTTGATAAATCACTTTGAAGATTTTGACTATTTAGGCAAGCTTTGGCATGCGGCTTATTCATGAATGTATGCGAGTACGATCGCGGTGAGGATCGATATAGATTGCTCGTGAAACCAAGTACTACTGTGAAGATACATCCATCTTCTGGGCTTTCTCGTGTACGTACATGTCATATTTAATCAATAAGAAATCGAATATTTAGTTTAATGAGAAACCGAATATTTCTCTTAAAACCGAGTAATTTTGTAAACTTCTCCCACATTTCACTATCATACGAGAAAACTCCATGACAATTTATGCTCAGCGCTTTTATACATTTTACGACAATTGGATATTGCGAGAGTACTTGTCGAGATGATTATCAGATCTTAGTGCATTGATCCTTACTTTTCGCGTAGAGCATAAAAAACATGAACTTTACGAGTTTCGTCGTCAGAATGCTAAGTTGGTATGCTGGATTGCTCGTTTTTCAGTCGCGACCGATGCATATGGTTTTTACCGACCTCGTCAGAACGACAGATTTGTACGCCAGGTATCGTATTTATTTCTTTTATGATTAAAATCTTATGGAGCGATAATGGAACCATGTCTATTATTTGCTTTGAAAGTTTATTTTCATATGAAAACAGCACATTAGGCTCTTTGAGTATAGGGTGTTTTAGTGGATTACTACAATTCCAGCGGCTTCGATTTCCGCGTGTGCTTCGCACGTCTCTGCGCTACGTTCGCGAACGTGTACTCTGGGCACTCAGCATGTGGTAGTGACCGAAGGCTGCGTCCGCGAACAAGGCTGTCGCCAGAAAACGAGGCTTTGGAGCTGTAAATCTTCTACTAAAACAGCCTATTTTTTATTCATTTACGTGCATAATGAAACCTTCAAAGTTCATCGATTTTGCGTTTGTGAAATTGCTTTTTCATCGTGGGTTCATTTTATAGAGACGTTTCCATTGTCGATCGAGAGTGGGTAGGCATCGCGATAGAGGAGTATAAGAGGAATGCCAAGAACTTTGCATAATTGGATCGTTTATTGCTTGTTTTGTTGAACTCAATCTGTTATTTGTTGATTTGATTTGCTTTGAATGAACTTCTGTCAATCAGAACATTATGAGCGCTATCAAGCACAATTTCTGCTCTGCTTCGCATTTTCCTGACCATCAAATGCAGCCGCTGTAAATTGATGGGTGGTCGCATGCTTTTCTGGAACAAAGGATTTTGCATAATCGACACCGATGTAGCGTAGCTGTACTGCGTAGTTCAGCAAGTGACTGTAGGATACAGAGAAAAGAAAGATATGGTTAGAAAAGACCTAGGGTCGTCTCATTCCAACGATGAAGCGTGAAGTCTTTCTGTATGACTATCTATGATTTCAAATCGTAGCAGGTAGGATTTTAGATGTATGATCTAAATCTCACAAAAGTTAATTTCCCAAAGAATGAGGAAGTTTTATCGGCGCTCTTTCTCAAGCCAGATGTACACTATCTTCGAGGGCATCAGCTTCGTCAACACTGTCACTCTTGTCTGGAAGACTCTTTTGGGCGGAGAGCTGAGAGTAACGAGCATTTAACAACAATCACAAAGGAAGAAATCTTGTCGTTACTGTCTTTTTGTCCTCATATAGAGCAGTGAGTTTGCATAAACAAACGAATGTTGTTGCACAGGGTTTCGTACAGTGTTCTACGTAGGACACTAGATATCTATCTACTCTCAGGTTGGTGTGAAATCTGTTGTGCAAATTGCAACAAGGTATACCTTTCGCAGAACTCTGTATGATGAATGCAATGGAAACCTCACAGATAGATTTTTCGCAACTTATCTCTAGCACACACTCATCTAGACATTGTAGTGGGCAAAAAACCTAGTTGCGAGAACTTTTTTTCATTGTATTCTCGTATTTGACGAATTCTGATGTTGTTCAAGTTTCACCATATGCTTCGTAGTGACTCATCTTGTAGCTGCCGGTAGTACAAGTGTGAAAAAGTAGCGAAGAAGGTCTGCGAAGCAAAAGAAAACTCCGAAATTCTTGGCTTTCTTGAGCTTGCTTTTCGTAAGTCTCGGAGTCCCAAATCATGAAGGTTTCCAAAATTTAATGGACTGGATAGCTAAGGGTTTTGAAAGGTACAAGGTGATTTACTCTACGCTTATAGAAATAAGCGAAGCTTTGGAGGTTGTTCGTGGACCGCATAAAGCCCTTACGACCTGTTTTGAGGCTTCGATTATTTAGTAATTATTAGGTTGATACATAAGTCTAATACATCCTGAATTTGTATGGCGGTAAAATATAAAATTCTTTTGAATCGGCCATCAGGGTACCATTCGATAGAACAAACCAAGCCAAAGTGGTGTATAAAGCTTGCATCAGCTCCAAATCCACGCGAAGCTTGAAGCTGACTATTACAAAGGTTGACGGCTCGGAAAATCGAGGAGAATTTGAGACTCCTCTCAGAACAATTTCAAAATCCTAACTTATTAGTGCATGTACATTTCACATCAAGCATTCAGATAAGCAGTTGACATATTTTTTTCCGGGCGAAAAATCGATAAGAAATTTTTGAGATTTATCAAAGCAACGCTGAACTACTTCAACATTAGTAATTGTATACTACAGGCCCTAGTAAAACCGTGAATTTTCAGCTTTTTACAAGCGTTAGTTTTCGAGAAGATCGATAGCTCTTTTACTAGGGTATTTGATGTTAAAACCAATGTCTCTCAAAATCTAACGCTCATGAAAAGCTGAAAATCACAGTTTTTCCGAAGGTTTGTAGCGTACAATTACTAGTGTGGGAACAGCAGAGCAAGTTACGTAAGATTATTTTCGTAATTTACGCCAGGTAAGCTGCAACAACGTTTTCCCAGTGTTTTTCAAGAATGTGACGCAATTACTGAAGACGCTCGAAAAACTCGTAAGTTCTCTGATGAAAACAACCCGTCTTAAAACATCGCTATACAGTTTTCCAGATTTTATAAGAATTATTTGAACAAGATGTTTACTTCACAAATACGCTATATGCTGGAGGTTCCTACCCTAACCCTACAGCAACGAAGAGAGACGGGTGACTTCACTCCCTACTGTAAGCAAGTTAAATCCTGCTTCAGTGAATGGTATTTGAAGCTAAAGGAAAGACTTTGTCGGAAGAGAATTATTGACTATTGAGAAGGGGTACTTACTTTTGAGACTGTATATAGTTCTTGCTTAGTAGTAGCTCTATGCAAAGCATTAAGTTTCAATCTTTCCCTATGCGTGTCATCGAAAAAATGCTTATAATTGCTGCTTTGTAAATGGTATGTGGACAGAGTACAATACCACCCGTAATTTGTGAAAAAAAATGGCGGCGGCACTTAACTTACGCGGCGCCGCCGAAGTTAGGTGACTTTTGCCGCGTCGCGCGACAAAAGTCGGCGGAAAAGCGGCCAAAGTCACCTAACTTTGTCGCGCAACGCCTAACTTTTTATAAAAAAAGACGTTATCTTGTTTCAAAATTTATGAATTCTATATATAAGAGTACCATTCAACTCAGCTCGGCGAGGCGCATCTTCCAATATACCGGATGTGCCTAGTTGTGGGATATAAGTTTCTTTCCTGGATTTTAGTGTAAATGGACCATTCAGTGTGCTTATTCCAGAGGCTACGTACACATTCTATTGAGCATAGCAGAAATAGGGCAGGTATAGTTTAAGAGCTCATTCTGCATGGATATATGTGAAACTGGGCAGCTCATTCTGCATGGATATGTGTGAAAGTGGGCTTTTCTCGGCGAAGTATGACGGGTCCCAAAATGCAGGAAGACAAAGGGAAATGGTTGGAAATCGCATGAGGAGCACATATCGCGGAATTCCGCGCGTGCTGTGCAATGTACAATACCACTCACAGAACGGGAATTGCGCGAAATTCCAGAAATTTCGCGATTCCGGATTATCGCAAATTATGCAGCGCCATAACTTCCTTCGGAATCAATATATTCTAAATGTGAAAGCAGCACTGTGTTCATCTCGTCAAGGCGAATCTTTCTACATACGTCATGTCATCTATATCTTGTTTTCAGTTTTCTCAAATTGTTCTGAGGAGGTCCCTTTGCAAGTATGTAACGCAGCGCCTATCCAACTTGAAAGCTTCCAGTAAGCACCATTCGATAGTGCTCTTCTTGTGCATTATAGTGCGCTAGTAAGCTGCCGCAGACTTCTTTTCAAAAGAGAAAAAAGCGTTGGTAAATTCTGGAAAAATCACTCGTTTCCAGATTCTACTCGCCGTAACTTTCTTTGGAGTGGATATTTTCTGAATCCGAAAAATGCATTGTGCTCAGCTCATCAAGGCAAATCTTTCGGTATGCAGAATGTCCTTGATATCTCGATTTCAGTATTCTCAAAACTTTCTGCGGACGTCTCTTCGCAAAGGTGTGAAGCAGCGCGTATTGCCCCCAGTATATTCAGAAAGAAATTTTCAATAGTACTTCTTTTGTAGATTATGGAGCGCTAGAAAGTAACCGCACACTCCTTTTCAAAGGAGTTAGAAGGGCTGGTGAATTCTGGAAAAATCATGTCCTTCTAAATTTTTCTCAACGTAACTCTAAAATATGAAGCTCTCTTGCTAAGCAGATGTGATTTTCGTAACCAGCAGGTCGGATAACCCTTAAGTGCAAGTTTTCCAAGATGTTCAAGTAATTTCATTTTTTCTCGTTTTACGCTCTGAAGCTGGCCGATGGATTTTGGTCAAAATGTTCATGCTCTTAAATTGTAAGGAAACTTCGCTTATAGAGGTTTTCGAACACGCTCTTTACGAAAATCGTGGTCTTTGAGGATTACAGGGTCTTTTTGGTGAGATACGGTGAGGTGACTGTAACTGCACCACGAAAGTGCGTAAATTGGCCCGCACTTCTCGCGTATCTGTCAGCAACCTTGCCTGCTTGCTTTTCTCAGTCAAAGTTACTAGGAACTGCGCTACCGAATGGTGCATGAATCAGGCTCCAGTCTGTAAAAATCACCGAGTTACGAGCCTATGAAAACACGTCCTCATGAATTTTGCCCAAAATCTAAAGATCGCAAATCTCGTCGAAATTCCACCGTGAGCGCTTGTATGACACTCGCATTGCGGATATTGTGTTCCCTTCGCCCAAAAACTCCCACTGTATTGAATATGGTACTTGCATATGCTTCAGCTGCTCAGTTGAATATCAGAGCTATTTCAGTGGCTAGAACTCAAACTACTAAATCTAACACAATAAGATCCATTAAGGACGCGAAAGATTTTGATCAGCGTGTTGTACAAGCGCTCACGGTGGAATTTCGACGAGATTTGCGATCTTTAGATTTTGGGCAAAATTCATGAGGACGTGTTTTCATAGGCTCGTAACTCGGTGATTTTTACAGACTGGAGCCTGATTCATGCACCATTCGGTAGCGCAGTTCCTAGTAACTTTGACTGAGAAAAGCAAGCAGGCAAGGTTGCTGACAGATACGCGAGAAGTGCGGGCCAATTTACGCACTTTCGTGGTGCAGTTACAGTCACCTCACCGTATCTCACCAAAAAGACCCTGTAATCCTCAAAGACCACGATTTTCGTAAAGAGCGTGTTCGAAAACCTCTATAAGCGAAGTTTCCTTACAATTTAAGAGCATGAACATTTTGACCAAAATCCATCGGCCAGCTTCAGAGCGTAAAACGAGAAAAAATGAAATTACTTGAACATCTTGGAAAACTTGCACTTAAGGGTTATCCGACCTGCTGGTTACGAAAATCACATCTGCTTAGCAAGAGAGCTTCATATTTTAGAGTTACGTTGAGAAAAATTTAGAAGGACATGATTTTTCCAGAATTCACCAGCCCTTCTAACTCCTTTGAAAAGGAGTGTGCGGTTACTTTCTAGCGCTCCATAATCTACAAAAGAAGTACTATTGAAAATTTCTTTCTGAATGTACTGGGGGCAATACGCGCTGCTTCACACCTTTGCGAAGAGACGTCCGCAGAAAGTTTTGAGAATACTGAAATCGAGATATCAAGGACATTCTGCATACCGAAAGATTTGCCTTGATGAGCTGAGCACAATGCATTTTTCGGATTCAGAAAATATCCACTCCAAAGAAAGTTACGGCGAGTAGAATCTGGAAACGAGTGATTTTTCCAGAATTTACCAACGCTTTTTTCTCTTTTGAAAAGAAGTCTGCGGCAGCTTACTAGCGCACTATAATGCACAAGAAGAGCACTATCGAATGGTGCTTACTGGAAGCTTTCAAGTTGGATAGGCGCTGCGTTACATACTTGCAAAGGGACCTCCTCAGAACAATTTGAGAAAACTGAAAACAAGATATAGATGACATGACGTATGTAGAAAGATTCGCCTTAACGAGATGAACACAGTGCTGCTTTCGAATTTAGAATATATTGATTCCGAAGGAAGTTATGGCGCTGCATAATTTGCGATAATCCGGAATCGCGAAATTTCTGGAATTTCGCGCAATTCCCGTTCTGTGAGTGGTATTGTACATTGCACAGCACGCGCGGAATTCCGCGATATGTGCTCCTCATGCGATTTCCAACCATTTCCCTTTGTCTTCCTGCATTTTGGGACCCGTCATACTTCGCCGAGAAAAGCCCACTTTCACACATATCCATGCAGAATGAGCTGCCCAGTTTCACATATATCCATGCAGAATGAGCTCTTAAACTATACCTGCCCTATTTCTGCTATGCTCAATAGAATGTGTACGTAGCCTCTGGAATAAGCACACTGAATGGTCCATTTACACTAAAATTCCAGGAAAGAAACTTATATCCCACAACTAGGCACATCCGGTATATTGGAAGATGCGCCTCGCCGAGCTGAGTTGAATGGTACTCTTATATATAGAATTCATAAATTTTGAAACAAGATAACGTCTTTTTTTATAAAAAGTTAGGCGTTGCGCGACAAAGTTAGGTGACTTTGGCCGCTTTTCCGCCGACTTTTGTCGCGCGACGCGGCAAAAGTCACCTAACTTCGGCGGCGCCGCGTAAGTTAAGTGCCGCCGCCATTTTTTTTCACAAATTACGGGTGGTATTGTACTGTACACTATACCTGGGGAAATTCGAAATTTTTTTCGAATATTCGAATATCGAATATATTCGAAAATTGAAAATTTCGAATATTCGAATATCGAATAATATTCGAAAATCGAAGTTCTCGAATATTCGACTATCGAATATTATTCGAAAATTGAAAATTTCGAATATTCGACTTTCGAATATTATTTGAAAATCGGAAATTTCGAATATTCGACTATCGAATATTATTCGAAAATGAAAGCTTCGAATCGAATAATATTCGAATATCGAATATCATTCGTTATTCGAATTTCGAATATTATTCGGTTCTCGAATGTTATTCGATTTCCGAATATCATTCGATTTTCGAATACTGACCGAATAATTTACATCATTGAGACTGCCTATGAAAGGCCAAAACGCTAAGAATAAATTGTTTCATGTAAATGATAAGAATGGACACATTCTCATGGTACAATTTACGATGGAAAAACGGTTTAGTCGTGACGTGAAGAGAGAGACTTACGAACCAAGCTACTCTTATGACGGTTGTGAAAAGATTTTTCGTACTTCAAAAAAGATTATATACCCTCACTGAGAGTTGCGATTGGGTATACAGCGGTCCCAACATATGTAGATCTGTAGGCTGACATCAACTTAGAGTTTGGGGCGATTTATCAATCGCTTTTCACTATTGTAAAATTACCGTAGGACTGAAGTGGGTTTCAAAACACCAAGAGCCATTTCCCTAAGAAAAAGAATCAAAAGGGCTGGAAGTCTTGCTTTAGATTTCTAAAGACACTCACTTTATGTAGAATTTGCACTCAACCGTAATGCTTTTTTAAAACCTACGCCAGGTATCCTGTGTGCCCCAGAAAATTTTCCATGTGAATCAGCTGCGTACGTGGTGCGACGCTGCCTTTTGCCCTTTTTGACACATTTTTCCTGAGATTTCAACGGAAATGCCCGAGATTAACACGTTCAAAATAGCGAAAGGCAGCGACATGACGTGGTGATACCTATGGAAATTTTGCTGGGGAACAAACGATACAACGCAACAAGTGTTTTGCGACGCCTTTCAAAAATGTGATTGCCATTTGAAAAGCTTGAAAACTCGTGCGTGGTAAAATCAGCATAAGACCTTTTTGGGGACAATTTTTTTGGATGTCTTATTTTGCAGTTGGTCTATAAGCTGGAGTTTCCTACTGTGATAACACAATAAAAAAACATGGGTGATTCGGTTTCTGCTGTATTTATAAGATGAAGCCATCCCTATTGGATACCCACAAACCCAGAAATTGGCGAAAGACTTTGAGAGGTATTAGCGATCAAACGGTGTGTAGATACTTTTAAGACACCCCGTATACGCTATGCATATCGAATTCTCGAATATTCGGTGCTTATCGAATTTTCGAATAGTCAATTCTTATCGAATTATCGAATATTCGGTGCTCGACGAATATTCGAATATTTGATGGACATCGAATGATCGAATGAATGACCTTCGATTATTCGACTATCGAATAATATTCGAAATTCAAGATTTTCGAATATTCGACTTTCGAATAATATTCGAAAATGAAGATTTTCGAATATTCGATTATCGAATATATTCGAAAACTAAAAATTTCGAATATTCGACTTTCGAATTTTATTCGAAATCTCAGATTTTCGAATATTCGACTTTTCGAATCATTCGCATTCGAATTATTTATTCGAATAATCGAATAATTATTCGATTCGGTCCCAAGTATACTGTACACGATACTGTACAGATCTTTATTGCACAAATGTACAGACTGACGTTTTGGCAAAATCGTCTTCTTCGTATGGAAAGTCGAACATAAGTAAACTATCCGATCAAACACCTTGTGGGGTACAGGAAACAGCCCAGCCCCTTAAGAAAACAGAAAGTTGTCAGTAAGTGTATTGAGGTGCGGCAGATAATATAATATGATAATAAAGTCCTTGTGCCTACAAAAGAAATTGCTAGCGTTTGAGACTTGCAGTGGTTTTCTAGAGTCTTCCATGCTCTACAGTCTTGTAGTTTCTAGTTTCTAAAGATTCATGTGTCCATCAGCGTGCGGACACCCCAATATTTTTTACATGAACAAGCTATTCACAGTTTGTTCTGAACTGCGAGTCGCGGCTCGCCACCTAGCAATCTCAACTTGGTTTTCTTTGGAATACATGTGTGACTCAAGTGCAAGTGTTGAATTAGTTTTGGTTTTTGAATAAATGATTTTGCAACAGAAGTTTCTTAAAATCATTGCTGCATTCTCGGCTGCGGCTGCTACGGTCATTGTCAGTGCATCCAGTACGGACAGTGCAGGCGTATGATAAAACCTTTATTCTCGATCTCTAAGATTGTTTCAGAATGCCATCGGTCTAGTTTTATTGAATGAGCTCATCTCAAAAGGGAGAGCTCCGTTCAGTCGAAGTGGGCTTTTGAATGAGTCTTAAACCGCTTTGAATATTGAACGCTGATCGAAATCTGTTTTCAATATGTGCCAGAAAGTATCTACTGAAAGAAGTGCTCTGAAAATTAACCCTGGATCATTTGAGTAATTTTGAACGAATTTTGTACAAGCGGCGGATTCAAATTTACATCCGAAAAACGCTCATAACTCGGCGCCCAGAAGATATGGCAGATAATGAAGACATATTTAGGACTATCTTTCACTGCTCTTAAAATTGGTATAGAGGTTCACATAAAAAACCCACTTTGAATAAGCGGACCTTCCCTGTAAGTCACACAGCGTTAATAATTGGTATAGTGGCGAGGACTAATAGCTAAATCAGTTTTGTATCTTGGAAAGATGTTAAATTAGAAGATGTAAGCATCAATTGGCATAAACTCGATGGCCAGCGCTCAGGTAGGGCTGCTACGGATGAAGCGGAGCCACTTTGTATTTCGTCTGATCAACATCGCCGAATGGGTAGAAAGGATGTCCGATTGCACTAAATCTTAAGCTTAAAGAAATTACAATTGAAGAAAGAACTTACATGTCAAAAAGGAAAAATCTTTTTCTTGTCTTGATATCGTTCAATTCCTTCATTTCTTCATCACTTAGCGAAAAATCAAAGATGTCCATATTTTCCTTGACACTGAATAATGACTGCATCTAGCGAAATTTCCACATTTGTCACATTCAAAGTTACCGCTCCGGCTTGGACGTCTTTGGAATAACAATCATTCCACGCTGATGAAGGTGACGCAACATAATTTGCGCTGCAGTTTTATTATGCTTCGCCGCCAGCTTTTGAACGACTGGTTCTGACATCGGATCTCCCTCTGGCCATACCATCTGTGGATTTGATGCCTGTAAAAAAACAAGATAAGGCTTTTGGCGCAAGATAAAGAATTTTTTCGGAAGTTTTAATCTCCTACTATGGCACACCTTCCTTCCCCTTGATCCCAAAGGTGCATAAGCAGTGAATGACATGTTTAGCTCCTTGCAAAGCTCGTGAAGCTCCGTTTGTGGCCAGTACAAATGGCATTCGACCTATGGTTAATAAATTAATGAAAGATAGGTGTAGGCGAGTCATTTTTAGCAGAGAAGGCTGCCACCGGTTGGCGTCTCTTGATTGAGGGAATTTTTACTCCTCATGGCGTCATTTTCCAGACCCTAACTACTCATTCAGGTCAGTGACGGCCAGTCTAGCCTCTGCGTGTTCTAATTTGCTTTGACTCTTTCCGCGTCAATTTTTCATTCCTAAAAAGCTCGAAAAACATGATTAAGTGTGCATTGCGTAGACAAACCTACTGCACATCAGAGCTATTTTTCCCGAAGAACGCCACTATGTTTACATTTTGTTCACATTTTTGTTACCATTTTCTATGAATACTGGTTGAAAAAATAAATGTAATAAAATATGGGTTTTGCGTGCGAGTGTTCAAAAATCAGTAGAACTCTAGAAGATGAGACCGGAAGCCTGTTGGACTAGATTCATGAACGAAGCTTCTAAACGTTATGCGGAATCTGTTCTGAAAAAATTTTTTTTTGTAAAACCGCCCGCATAAGTAACTCATTGTAACTGATTTTGCACCAAACTTAAAGGCAGTGTTCCGGCAGATTTTGCACCTCCACCTTTTTGCATGTTTTAGGCCTTTTCGCCACGTAGAATCCGAATTTGGGCTTAGAACGGGCTGCAAAGGCCGATTTGGGGCGTTTTCCCAATTCCAGAAAAGCAGCTTGGACGAGATTTTTAATGGAAAGTTGGGGGAGGTCCTCAGACGAAGATCCTGCCGCCTGTAATTCTTGCTTTGGATAGCATGCATCATAGGAGAGAGCGCTCTGGGGTCCCGCGCCGAACAGGCGGGGAAGGCCGTCCAAGCGCGCGCCAGTTGGGGTTGCGCGCGCCGGTTCAAGGGCCATTTTCTCGGCCCAGGGGGAACATCACCGAGCCTGAGTGCGCCTGGAGGTCGATGGGGTGACCAGGAACCCCACCACACGTATATCCCCCAGGACCCGAATCTGCCGGGACACTGCCTTTAATCTCCTTTCTCGCGGCTTAATACATTGACGACCGCTTGACACACATGGTGTGTCAAGGCTTGAATTTCGAAACAACTACTACACTTTGATAAACATACTCCACGAGCTTTCTTCTGCACTAAGTTTAGGGATGACCTCTACCGTTATTTTTAGCCTTTCAGATCTACTGTAGGTGTACTGTAGATGGCAGTATGCGTAAATATAGTTGAAAAATGCGGGCTGGTTCGTAGAAGGCCTTGGTCCCAGAAGCCAGACAACTAAAAATCTGCATGGTCGTCAATGTGTTAACGAGTTTACAAAGTCTAGGTTTGCGGCCTTCAGTGCAAAATATAAATTGGAGCATACCTGCAAGTTTGCGGGCTTCACACGTGCCTTGTCATACACATTCCGTATCTGCGAAGCATTGAAGTTTGACAAGCCCAGAGCCTGAATACTTTCGGTATCTCCCATATATTTACAGAATGTGCTCAATTTAGCAAGACCACCTTTAGCTTTCCGGCATCGTATAATTTTTCTAGAGCATGCCATGTGTCCACGTGATCGATTGTAACGGGTATTGGCACACCATTCGCCAAGGCTGCATCGAAACTATCGTTTGCTTTCTAGAATAAGTTTTGCTTTCGTCTGACCAGTATTTATCGAAAACTTGCATTACTATGTAACAGTGACTGCCCAAAATTTTTAGTAAGCTTCAAATTTTTTTTCAAAACATAATGACACTTATGAATGGTCAGACTTGAGTTAGTTTTCAAACAATTCATGTGTGCCTATTGAGATTTATTAGGATGTCATATAATATTTTACATATTATTTTTTCTCTCGAAATAACTCATCTTCTTCTTGGTTCTCAAATAGGTTCTGCGGTACTGTCCGACAGAGCATAGCATGTTCTACAAGATAGCACTCAAATATATGCTCCAAGTTTGTCTTACATAGAGTTCTAAGCCGAAATCTAACAGGGGAAGGATACTTGGATGCCGTAGCCATTCATAATGATTTGTATACCAAAAAATGCGCTTTTGAATGCTGGATCGTAGACTGTCTTTCATATCTGCGAAACGATAATCTGAATGGAGTTATGATTTTTTTTTTCATTAAAAAAATTGCGTTCCTGCGGAGGGTCAAAGTCATCAATAAAAAAATTTTCTCTCCTTTCCAAATGCTGAGTATGATCCAGATAGTCTAAATAAATATTACTACGTCTAAAATTTTCTTCAGTAGCATCAAACGGTAGGCTAGATCAAATCTGCTGATTTTTACTATCCAAAAGTAGGCTAAATTTCCAAGGAAAAAAGTTCATAACTTTTTTCAAAAGATCGTTTCGCAGATTTCGAGCACAGATTCAGAATCTGCATTCGAAGGCGCATTTTTTGGTATACAAATCATTAGGAATGGCCGCGGCATCCAACTATCCTTCCCTTGTAAGAAGAGCTAAATGGACGAAAAGTCGAAAAAAATCATACGTCACAAGGACATGAATCAGGAATTTAATTGGCCAATCCAAACAAGCTGCATACCACTAGATGCGCTAAAACGCTGTCTTCGAATCTGTATTTCATATACCTGCTTAGCGCCTGTGTGGGCGAAGTTATGAGCCGTTAATGGTCGTTATTTTGCTAAGAAAACATGCAAAGCGCAATGTGTCAGTATAAAGCTATGTTCGGTTTAATGCTTGGCCAAAACATGCAGCTAGGTTATTTTGTAATCTCAGAGCTTTAGGGTTAGCTGAAAGTACAACAATGTGCTCAATTATGCAATTTTTTGCGATATTTTTCGCAATAAAACTGCTCATAAATTCGTCCACAAAGACGCTAAGCAGATATGGAATACAGACAGATTCGAAGTCGGCGTTGAATGCTATATGGAATGGTAGCCAACTTGTTTGGATTGGAAATTTCGACTTCTGGTTATTTCCTTGTCAGTTCAAAAATTGCCTATGCACTTTCTGCTTGCTCGGCCATGTACTCTCTACATCCGATATTCAACTGTAAATTTGCTCATTTCTTCTTTGCTAGAATTCTAAGCATATGTATACCAAGGCCAAAAACACGGAAAAATCGTCTTGTTTCATTTTTTTGCGCTAAATTTGATATTTTCTAGAGATTTTACTTCCAGAGGGCAAACCTAAGGATAAATTTTTGATGGAAGTACATGCCTGCTCAAGTAAGTAATTTGCTGAAATTTTTTGAAGGTGTATATGATTTTTTTCGACTTTTGGTGCAGATCTTCTTGAATTCCGGCTTCGTGCTCTGTGTAGAACGAACTTCGAACAAATATTTTGGTGCAACCTTGTAGAGTTCGCTTTGCTTTGCCGAATTTTATCGCATAACCTAGTTGAGGAACAAGAACAACATGAGTTATTGTGGGAGAACGTAAAGCTGCAAAAAAAATTTGTAGGACACCTTGATATTTTAGATATGCTCTGCTCAATTCGAGTAATGACCGAAGTTTGGTTTTCATAATTCCATTGAAGTTTTTCGTGTTACCTACCTCAGAAACAACGCTGGCTTCCGGCGGTCAAAAATATTTTGTAAAGCTCGCCCTAATTGCGCTTTCTACATATAACGGCAAAATTGAATTATTATCAAACTGGTAGGCAAAAATTCCATCTGCTTACTTTGGAATTCACCACTAATTCTATCACACCTGAAAGCATACCTGTAGAGGCAGTGGGCAATGTATGAGGTACAGATCGATGTAATCAAGTTGGAGCCGTTTCAGCTGGGTGTTCACGCATTCCTCCACATCATTTGGATCGTGTGCAGTAAAGGGGAGCTGAATTTTTTTTATAGAAGTGGAACAATCCTAATGGCACTAGCATATGAGTACGGGACCTAACTAAGCAAAAATAAGGCGTTATGTCTCAGTGAACATTCTATTAGACTTACCCTCGCAGAAAGCGAGACGGCATTTCGCATTACGAAGCGAAAGTGTGTAAATTGAGTGTTAATTTAATATCCATCTGACAAATCCGTAATAAATCTTCTTATTATTTACATATAGAGAAGGAGCCTAATTCATCATCACTAGAGACAAAAAATGTGGTGCACACATGATTCAAATGATGATTCATGATGGTTACAAATACAACTCAGCACTCAAATTTCAGGTTAGCTTCTTTGGCTTGGACGCATGCATTCTATCTTGATGCTGTGTTGACACGCATGTAGTCAGAATAAGTTTCGTTCCACGCGAAAGCGTGGGACGAAACTTATTCGCGGCAGTTGCTTCTTCTATTAGGTTGATGCATAATTCCTGCACCAAAATAGGTACAGACCGCAATAACCCGGAATAATCCTATATCCCAAACAGGATTCGATACATCGTTAGATAGAGCAAACCTAGCTCTACAAAATAGTGCTCAAAAATCTGCACCAGCTTTGATCCATGCAAAGTTCTGGGCCGAAAACTGAGAAAAAATCCATGCGTTCGAAAACCTTAAGACCAATCAAAACAAAATTGTAACTTCGTTCAAAAAGCTACTACAAATTATCCTTCTTGCTCACGCTTAGACGTTCCACGCAAGACATTTATCTATGCTTTTGCTTTTTTCTCAGCTAGACGATGAGAAAACGAAGTTTTTCATGTTTTTGCCAAATTAGTGCTGAGATGTTCTAGCACTAACGGTTGTATAGTACATGCCGTTAGCAGTGAGAATTTACATTCTCAGCCTTCTAGAAGTGCTAGTTCACGAGAAATGACGAATCTAGCTCTCCTTATCCGAATTTTTCTTGCCTAGTTGCTAAAAATTCGATATTTCTCGTAAATCAGCTGCTGTAAAGGGCTGAAAGTTCTCACTTACTCTTCTAAGGTAATATAGTATACAACTGTCAGTGCTAGAACATCTCAGCATGTTTTGAAAAAAAAAACATGATAAACTTCGTTTTCTCAATTTCTAGCTGGAAGAATAATACAGCAACTGCATAGAGAAATGTCTTATACGAAATGACAATGCATGAGCATGTTAGGAATTTTGAAGGATTTTTCAGAAGGGACTTTCAATTTTTCTTGGTTTTTTCGGACGCTTGAATCTTTTTCGTTTTTGGCTTCAGTCTTCGCTTGGATCAAAGCCGCTGCATATCTTTGAGCAATACCTTGTAGGGCTAGATTTGCTCTATCTAATGATATATCGAATCCTATTTGGGATATATGATTATTGCATATTATCGGGTCTGTACTTATTTGGTGCAGGAATTATGCATCAACCTAATACTTTCAATAAAGCACGATAGAGCAAACTTTTGGCTGCAACTTACTTTGAAAATTTCTGCAATTTTTGGGTTTGAAAATTGTGGAGATTTATGGAAACATGTATGCGTCGCATGCTGGAAATTCAGATACAACTGCGCATAGGAAGACGGAGTGCAATGTCTTAGAAGTATCGATCTGTCCCATCAACCGAGTTTGATTAAATGCTTTTATAGAAGACAGATGGAAAGAGTATAGATTAGACGCAATGACTACTGCGCTTCTAAAGCTTTCAATTTGTTTAAGGCCACTGGCACGCTGATAACATTTGCAGATTTCTTACCGCTTGTGAGAAAACAGCTTCTAGCAAATACAAAAACCCACAAGGTGAAACACAACTCCTTTTATATATTCTCAGCACCTTCATTTACAGAATATATTGTAGAGATCATTTGTAAAATCGTGATGACGGATTTGACTGCGGACTTTGCGCCCACAGGAACATAGAACGCTCATACAAGAAGATATCACCTCAAGCTTAGCTCAGTCACTTCCAGTGTACGAATACTATCATATGATGGAATCGCTTTGGGCTTTGTTTTCTTTCAGCTTTCTTCTCCATTTTACCTCTAAAACCTGCCTTTTCAGGTGCTCGTTGATCTTGCAATGACTTGCGGGTTCAGTTACGGCTGTAAATTATTTCTTTGACGCCTCTCGTGTATCTCCTCACGTTGCGCCAAACTTGTATTTTCTGTGTACTCGTTGTGTTCTAGTTACTAACACAGTTTCATCAGCATCTTAGTCCGAGTCTTTTTCGCTCAGCTATCTAGTATTCAATCGTACAGCTTGCTATTTCAACAAATGGATTGAATGTGAATCGTTTCACCTTTGGGGTCAGTGGGCCTCCCCAGCATTCCGGCTAGGTTGGGTTATGGTTATTATACCTGAGCCAGTAGACCTGCCTTATAAGCTGCCGGATTGCTTTTGAGAGTGACTAAAGATCGTTCCGCTGGCAACGAGGGGCATGCGTCCCATCTCCATGGATTCAAAGTTTTGGAGTTATAAATCTCAATGCCTACATCTGCATACTTATCTATTAGCCTATCAACATATTCAGTGCAAGCTGTTTCATCTTCTCACATTAGTCTGATTAGGATCAGACTCGGACTGACATGTTGATGTCTGCATTTGTGTACATGTTTTGTTCGTTTCCGCTGTATTACTAACTTCTTGATGTGTCTTTTTTTTATGGAACGCCCTGAGCGTACAAATGAAATGAAATGAAATATGTAAGCAAAAAACCCATTGGATCAGAGATAAAAACCAAGAAGATGCGAAAGTGGCGGAAGTGGCGTGCGTGCAGCGCGCGGTCGCGCCATCGTTACGATTTTTCAAATGCACTATCTTATATATAAAGCTGAATGTCTGTTTGTATGTATGTATGTATGTATGTATGTATGTCTGTATGTCTGTCTGTGTGTACGTATGTTCCGAATAGAAAATTCCATTTCTGAACCGATCCGGACCAAACTTGGCACACATACACTTCGGGCCCCGGCGCGTGTCATAGGCTACTTTTCGTCATCGATCGATATCGATTTTATCGATTTTTATCGATTTTTTTGCGGAGTTCACCTACGGGGCTGGGAGTTGGCACAGGGGGGTAATCGAGCATGGGGATTCCGAATACAATATTGGTTTTCAGGATTATCGATTACTTTTATCGATTTTATCGATTTTTTTGCAAAGTTTGAGCTACGGGGCTGGGAGTTGGCACAGGGGGGTAATCGAGCATGGGGATTCCGAATACAATATTGGTTTTCAGGATTATCGATTACTTTTATCGATTTTATCGATTTTTTTGCAAAGTTTGAGCTACGGGGCTGGGAGTTCGCACAGGGGGGTAATCGAGCATGGGGATTCCGAATACAATATTGGTTTTCAGGATTATCGATTACTTTTATCGATTTTATCGATTTTTTTGCAAAGTTTGAGCTAGGGGGCTGGGAGTTGGCACAGGGGGGTAATCGAGCATGCTGATCATCCCCAAGGGGGGTGATCAGCATGCTCGAACACCCCTGTGCCAAATTCCAGCCCCCTAGCTCAAATTTTCAAAAAATCGATAAAATCGATAAAAGTAATGGACGATCTTGAAAACTAATATTGTATTCGTAATCTGCATGCTCGATTACCCTCTGTGCAAACTCCCAGCCCCGCAGGTCAAACTTTGCAAAAAAATCGATAAAATCGATAAAAGTAATGGACGATCCTGAAAACTAATATTGTATTCGGAATCCCCATGCTCACTTCCCCCCTGTGCCAACTCCTAGCCCTGTAGGTGAACTCTGCCAAAAAATCGATAAAATCAATAAAAGCAATCGATAATTCTGAAAACTAATATTGTATTCGGAATCCCCATGCTCACTTCCCCCCTGTGCCAACTCCTAGCCCTGTAGGTGAACTCTGCGAAAAAATCGATAAAAATCGGTAAGATCGACATCGATCGATAACGAAAAGTGGACTGTGACACGCGCCGGGGCCCGAAGTGTATGTGTGCCAAGTTTGGTCCGGATACGGCGGAGCCGGGTAAGCCAGCTAGTAAACTCTATAGACATCGATTTTTTACTTGGTAAAAGTTTTAGCTTGATATTTCAGTTCTTACAAAAACATATGGCAATTATTTTAAGCTCGAAAAAATATACTTCGTAGACGATGATTGCAAACTGAGTGGCAGGAGAAAATGGCGTCAAAATCTAATCTACACCTAGGTTTTAGAAATTACATTGCTTCATTTTTGAGCTCTAATTTTTAACACGTTGACGACCTTGTGTATCCGCACGTATGCACGCCCTGACTCCCGTTCAGCATTTTCGTGCATCCGCGCATATGCACGCTAGTTTTTAGGTGCAAACGAAAAGTTTTAAGGTAACTTCTATGCAGTAATACTAATAGTGACCTGATTGTCTTACTGAACACAGGGCATCGCGGCAGCTGTTCAGAATTTTTGGCCGCAAAATTGGGTAATCAGTACGTTTTTGATGTAGTCAATACATGCTAATTACGTTTTCTCGAGAAGGTGAAAACTCTGTATAGCTGTTTTGAAATCAAACAAAGATGAATCAGGCAAAAAACATCTGGTTTTACAACGCTTTTCTCGAAGAGCGATTCTTCAGATATAGCCATTGCATGGATTCTTGGAGGGAAAATCGATGCAAAAACCTTGATTTGTGTAAGTCCTGGTAAGGCCTTGTGATATACCTGTGTGTCTGAACAGAGTTCGCATGTTTTATTAATAAATGACAAAAAGACTCCCACATAATGTTTTCGTGCATCCGCGCGTATGCACGGGCCAAATGCGCGAAGGACGTTAGTGGGAATTTCGCCCAAAATGGCGCGGTCGTCAACGTGTTAACAAACCCTGTAGATAACCAAAATCCAATTCGATCAACAACAAGGCAAGAAGTCCGGTGATCAATGTTCAACACTGCATAGCCCTCAAAGTCTTCCACCTTTTCTAATGAGGACGATGATGTGTCAGTTGTTTATAAAACAAGTTAGCTATGCATGGTTGTGAGAGGTGTTATTAGCACTCAGTCTTGTCGAGTGCTTTCTCGGAAGACTGACTGAAGACTTCTTCAATTCGCTTTGGTACATAACAAGGCACTCTCGTCTGTGAAGTCTCATTCAAACTTTGGCTGCAGAGAATACAGACAAGCCGCAAAGGTTGCTCGGTCAATTATTTGGTGCATGACATGGTGATATTTGGACGCGCTCAGTAAAGCTTGGTAGTACCTTTGTGGTTATGAAGATGTCCTCCCGCTTCACTTTTCCGCTATCGATGTATTCCTTGAGTACTTTACCAATGACAGCCTCGTTGTTATAAAGAAATGCCGTATCTAAAAATATTATGTACAATAATCAACTCATTGTCAGCTCTCTAAAGTCTTCTACAACAGTCCGTGGTTAAGGAAATTATTTCTTTCAATAATTATCAAACAATTTACGGTATGATATGCGTCTCATCCTACCATTACCTTTGTATCAGGAAACGTGTTAGCGTAAATGAGAAGCTTTTACTTAAACAAATCACCGGGACTTCCGCAGAACAAGCCAAATTTGCAGAAGTTCCGCAGGATTTTGTTCACTATTGCAAAAATGAAAACGTTGAGAGTCGGAACTTCCGCGAGATTTTCATGCCAAACTGGTTGAAAACCGAAACTTCCGCAAGACCTTCTTCAAGATCCTTTGAAAATTCCAAAAAATACCAGAGTTCCGCAGCACTTTGGCCTGCCAGAACTTCCGCAGAACCTTGAATGTGTTGTCTCCTGATGTTGCTTCGCCAACAACTAGAGCGCATTATCGAACATGACAGCGATATCGTAGAGGATAGTATGTGGATCTCACAGTCAATAGAGTGAGGTTCAAATCCCGCTTCGGTGTTCTCTTTTGCTGTTGTGGTTGGCATTCTTCGGAACTTCCGCAGCACGTTTACGGGACCGCAGGTGACCCGGCGGAACGCCATTTGTTTTAGTATTTAATCTCTGAACGTTCAGTGGTGTCACATAGTAAAAGCAGTCTTACCGATCAGACGGTAGCCGTTGTCAAGCGCTGTCGTCAATGCAGCTACCAACTCAGTTTCATTGGTGTTCTAAAACCACGCTTACATTTTTGCTGGAGCAGCCTTATTGCGAAATTTTGTAGTCTAACAAGGGAAGGAAGGATGTTCAGTCGAAATAGTCTTTCAAAATGAGGTGTTACCATATTGGAAGGCATAAAGCGCTGATTCCAAATCGCCCTGTCTGCAGAGCTTCCCTGGACGCGGAGTTATGAGGGTTACAGATTTGGAATCAGCGTTTTATGCCCTTCAAAGTGATATACAGCACATTGTCCACCTCGATTAAACACCCTTTCCTTGCAAGTCTCATCTACTCCCTCCATGCTAGCTGAAGCAATGATTTAAAAGAGTACCTGCCAAGTTCCAAGACCTAGCACAGGCATATAAGTGCCTGTATTGAGCTCGATTCTCTCAATTGTTGCCTGGAAAAAATTCACTTAATGATGCCGATGTATGTATGCGTATGCATACAGCTTGCTCAGGCAAAATTCTACTTCTCGATGTATATGTATAAGTGTGCACATTTATATCAAAGAGCGGTGGCCCGTAGAATTTGAGGAAAGGGAGAAGGACAGAATTTATTTTTCATCAGGGCCTGGCGTTGACCACAATCTGCGGAAGTGCAGATAGTTCTCAGTAGGTCATAATTCCGAAATATTTGAGGAAGATGGGCGTTGCGACATTCGCGCTCTCCGAGATTTTTTTGAAACTAAAAGTGCTTTTAATTTTGTAGAAAATTTGAGAGCTATCTCATGATTTACGGTTAACAATATTGCACGATTTGCTAATCCGCTTGGATAATTTTCGTGATTTTCACGACCCAATCTTGGTTGGGGGTTCCCCCTTCAACTCCCCTCTTCTCGGTCCGCCACTGCTATCGATCAGTTTGCTCGATCTCAGTAGAAATACAGGGTGTCCCAAAAAAATGCGAACACTATTTGATAGTTAATAACTCTCTTGCTTTCAAGTCTCTCGCCAAGCTTTAGGCGCCATTCTGTAGAGCGAGGATAAACTTAGATTTACAGCATGGAAAGAATTTCGCACTTTATTCGTTACTGTAGGATTACGGTACAAACTTTGAAAAGGATTTTAGAAAGTGGAAGCGATTTTTGCCTCAGGAAGATAGCCAAACAAGCCAGAAACTCTTGTGCTGGACTGATCAAAGTCGCCGATTCCATACACGATTTTTGCGCATTACTGTGATGCTTTCCATAAGTTATTTTGTTTTAGGGTACTATTTGTTTATTCAATGTTCATCCGATGTCCGATTACACCAATAAAAGAGCTCAAAAAACTGGTGAAAAGTTGTGTACTGGAATCAACACGCCTAAAAACCTTGCTATACAAATTTCCAGACTTTTTGGAAATTTTTCAATAAAAGGCCTATTCCACAGTGGTGCAATATGCTGAAAATTTATATCGTAATCCTACAGTAACGAAGAAAGATCGGAAATTCATTTCATGCTGAAAATCTAAGTTGGACCTCGCTTCACAGAAAGGCCCCTCAAGCTCGGCGAAAGACATGAAAGCAAGAAAGTTATTGACGATCAAACAGTGTTCACATTTTCTTGGGACACCCTGAATTAGGTTGGTGCAAAAATTTTGTCAGTTTCTTCAATCCATCGGCAAACACGCTAGAATAATAATTAACAAACGCTTCAAAATGTATCCGATGGAGAATTTCTTTCTCTTTCTAGCAGCTAAACTCACATTGTGTTTCGTTGCGAGAGTGATGAGATATTTGCTGGCAATTGCAACCATTCGTTTTTACCATGTCCAATTTTCACTAATTTTCAAAATTTTTGTATGAGACTTTTGGAGTGGTTCCAATAACCACCAGATAGGGCAAACCTTTTGCCAACTTATGCAATTTTTTTCTTTTTTCAGCTGCTTTTTTAGATTTTTGTTAAATAATTTTCCAATGGTGTTGCGTTTTAAAAAAATCGCTTAACCTGTTATTGCACCAAACACTGCAAAACCTACAGAACACTGAGGTTTCAACCTCGATTATTACTACCACTACCATTACAAAGTAAATGAGCGACTTTCGCTCCAAATTATGAAGATTTTGGAACATAGGTTACGTCAGTGCGCACTCCTGAGATTGAGAAATACTGCGGTTTTTCCACAAATTTCGCCTGTCTCGGTGAAAAAAGACAAGTGTTAGAAGGAGGAGAAAAAATTGCATCGAATGGTGATTGAAGTGTTTAACACTTTATTTTCTACAAGGATAAAATAGGCTGAATGTAAAATTTGGTCACTTCAAAAAATAAATCGTAGAAATTTTGAAAGACAAGCCGTAGGGCTACAAAAAACTGCACTAGTTGGCAAAAGGTTTGCCCTATCTGGTGGTTGTCAGGGTTCTTGCAAAAGTCTCATACAAAAATTCTGAAAATTAGTGAAAATTGGACGTGGTAAAAACGATTGGTTGCAATTGCCAGCAAATATCTCATCATTCTCGCAACGATACACAATAGGAGTTTAGCAGCTAGAAAGAAAATGAAATTCTGCATCGGATGCATTTTGAAATGTTTGTTTATCTTCATTCTGGCGTGTTTGCCGATGGATTAAAAAGACTGACAAAACTTTTGCACCAACCTAATATAACGATCTTAGTGCGCCCTTCTCTTTTGGAAAAATTCTAGAGTTTTCGAACCGAAATTGGTACTTCTAGAGAAGTCGGGTACCTAACTACGATAAGAATTTTTTGGATTACACTGAAAAGAAGTCTGTGAATAAAGTACGAATTCTATGATGGTTCAAGAATCATCCTTTGTGCTTGTTTTGCTTCATCGAATGCTCAAGTGGCTTTCCTATGGCCATATGCACGTACATCTCCACTGAGAGTAGAGGATCTGTGAGGGAATTGCCATATAAGCTGAGTTGTTTGCTGTTTTATATGACTGAGGTGTTTATAGAAGATCACCTCTTTAAAATCATATTCATTTATTCTTCAAACTGAATAAAAACCTGAACAGTCGCAGCGAGGACCTCTTATATCAGTTCTATGCATGTTTACCGTAAAAATAAGTAATCTCGGGACTAGCAAATTTCCGATGACCGACTGTTTGCGAGTCGCGGTGCTCTGACTATTTTAATGAAGGCTGTTAAGTAAAGTGACTTCACAAAATGATCTGTTAATTTGATTACGATTGTTTATGTAAAAAAAGGTTATAAATGGCAACCAAATTCGTATATTCAATTTCCTGCTTGTCGCTGGAAGGCAGATAATTAGTCTCCGCTGAAGCTCTTGTCAAACAACACGAGATTCATGGAACAATCAGAAACCATCATCCTTTGCTATAAACACGCTTTGACTACTTTACTTTTCCTCAGCACAACTACGCGACATTTTCTAGGTTTGTGAAAAGACTGACTCTGGAAAAGCGGTTATTTTTTGGGAATCTTCTGGGAGATTACACAAAATAATGGAAAATGCAGTTTAGGCTCAAGTGCATAACTTCCGCGAAAGTGAAGGGAACGCAGCTTAACCCTTCCGGACCTAGTAGTGGCAATTTATCGCCATCAATTCAGAGACCTGCTATGCTGGCGCAAGAGCATAATTTTGATGCACATTGCTACAGATCTGTTCAGATAACCATCAACCTTTACCTTCTAAGTATAGCTTTGAAACTGCGTTTTTGTTTGTTTTCCTGTCAGCAAACAAGCATTTCTGTAAAAAATTGACTTGCAACCGATCAATAATTTGCTCCGGCGCCAGCACCGTATCAGTAATCTCATTCAATAGCCAATAAATTTCCTCAATATTATCAAAACGCTGAGTATGATGTTGTACAGGTGAAGTTGCTAACAATTTGCCGCTCCATATGTGTGGGAGAAAATTTTGAAAATAAAAATAAATGCAAAACGAAAAAACAAAAAGAAATATGCTGGATGTCGAAAAGTCTCCAAACTCCTTATAATGTTATTTATATGCTAGTAAGTAAAAAACAATAGGAATGAGGCTTCTCTCACTACAGGATAAAATCCAGGTCCGAAAGGGTTAAAAGAAAGCTTTATATCTTGAAGCTACGGAGTTTCAAATTTTACGCTGTCTGTTCATTCTCAAGCGTTTCTACTGTCCTTGACTACAAACATTGTAAACAGGAGTATACTGTTATTTAACTTGCATTTTCCAACTTCTTATAATTGTCTCCGATGATCGCGACCGATCATCTTTTCTTCTAATGTTAGAAAATGCGGCTCAATCAACGGTGCTCTCCTGTTCAGTATCTTCATGTGGTCATCGGAAGACGCTGTAGCATAAACACATTTCAGACATGAGAGAGTTTGGAAGGCTACTCGCTCGAGCTTTTGGATAAACTACATCGTTCGCCCAGGTCCGCTACGTCAGCGCGGATGTTCACCATGTTGGTGGGCGTAGCGTCACCAACAGAATCGTACACTTCAGAATACCTAGAAACGCCAAAAATTGGTTTTCACAATGTAAGGCAGATTTCTGTCAATTCTAGACACTGTCTAGTTTCAAACTCATTACCTTTAGGCCAACCAACTCATTGGGCGCGGCTATCTCAGCAGCATTCACCTTCTGCGATGGTTTTCTCGCTTATGCATGCACCATTTGCAGCTGGTCTTAGGCATTTAGTTAGTTAGGGAACTCATAATTCTACTGCATCAAAATCTCACCAATCTCTGATGTGGGTGGACGGTGTCTCCAAGGGGATCAAGATAAATTGTCTCCATAATCAGTGTTATCATGAAAGCTTTCTTAGCCGAACAAACATCTATGTTCGGTTCGCGATAATACGAACGCCACCTATTTCAAGAGTCTAGACTTTTTTGGGAAAAACACTCAAGAAACCGTTCTGCGAGAAAGAGCATAGTTGCAAACGTATATGCAGCACTGGAGAGACAGTGTTAATCTTAGGAGTAGGGCTTGGCAAAGCTGGATATCGGTTTTCGGGGAAAAAAGGCACAAACACGAATTTTTTTAGTCAACGTTTCGTGTTTGAGGGCTTTTTACGTTTAGGTTTCAAGGTCAAAGGGGATTTCGTACGAAATTTTCAACATCTAGGGGGACTTTGTTTTGAAATTTCCCGTGCCAGCTCGTGCAGAGCCCTGCTTAGTAGTGTATTTTGCACCGAATTATAATTTGTAAACTCAAGCAGAGTTTCATTTTTTACTAGCTGCCATTTTTCGGATATGGATATAATCTTCTTGTAATGCTAAAGTGACAGAGATATCTGCTGTACGTTGCATCCAATTCACTTCAAAAAGAAGATTTAACTCGCCATGTAGCTCAAATTTTTTATGACATCAGTGCTCAAAAAAGGTCTGATTTGTGTGGTATAGAGACTATAGAGACTATGACCAGCTCGTACCAAAGCATTGAGAAAATATAATAATTTTTTAATAGCCGTGCTGATGTGTTGTTTGATGCATGGGAAAAACTTGTGTACTCGCTGAGTTCTTAGAAATCATAACCTTACCCAAGAGTTTGTGCATTTTTCATCCTCAAATCTCAGCTTCTTTTCCCGCATAATTTTGCAACGAAGCAAAGCAGCATTGTTTATATGATGATATGTCGGTGGTGAAGTTCCTGGGTTTTTTGAAGAGCTAATCTTTAGGCTTAATGGCTAAACAAGAAAAGCTATGATTGCATCAGTACATATATTCATTTTTATAAGATAGCGCGTGCGTTGCCGAAACAAATGTTGAGCGTTGCAGAACATTTCTAGCTGAAAACGCGGTTATACGAATTTGCGCATACTATGTGCTCAAATTTTTTTTAGGAATTTGGAGCAAAAACCAAGATTTGAGGTTCAAAAAGTCATAAGCCACGGAGAAATAAATATTTTTGGGATGCAATAAATCCGAAAGCATCTTGAACCGCCTGGGCTCGTAGTAATCTACCCTCTCAGGTGGCATCAAAGATGCCGGCAAGTTCGCGAACCTCGCGGCATGTTCGTGTTTCGGGCGCAAGCTAAATCTTGCTCTAGATTCTCGTATTTTGATTTGTTTTTCTCACATGAAATTTTGATGCCGCTGATATCCGCAAAACAGCGACATCGCGCGGGTCCGAACCTGCGTGCATCAAGCTTAAGCGCCCCCGCACTAACCATTCGACCACTCGTTCAATTTCTGTTGTCTGCCAGCAATTATAGCAACGCTACCTAAGTAGTGAGCGCCTGTATGTGAGCATGATCAATACAATGCGCGATGGACGTTGACCTGAAAAAACAGCTGACTGATAAGAGCGAACGAGAGACGAAACCGTTGCAAATGAGATTTGAAGCAATTGCAAAATGAAAATAGCGTTCATTATGGTTTTATAACATCAGCAATCCTTTCTTGTGCATAAATATCATCAATTTGGGGGTGAAAAACCCATATGATGGCGAAAATGATAGTTTTTTGATGGAAAATAATTTTTTTCGTTCTTGCGCTGGACGTAAATTGTGTGATATCGCCGCGCGACGCATTTTCACAGGCGCCGTCGGCAAAGGTGCCGGCATCTGGACGTGGTAGGGGCACGTCCACATGCCGGCAGGTCGCACTCCACAAACTACACACTATTTCCTGCACTCTCTTACCTGCCGGCAGGCTGCGAGCTGGATGGCATCTCAAATTTCGACAAAAATAGATCGTGAACCTGCCGGCAGGTTCACAATTCGGGCCAAATAAATGACAAACGAGGACATCTTTTAGATTTCCTTTCAATTCCCATACTATTTCGGCAGCAAAACTGGACCGTAACACAAAAAAATAGATGATCAGCCTGGCTTGGGGGTCCCCGAAGACAGTTTCAGCTTTCAGGGACCTCAAGTCTACATCAGGGCGACCTCAGGGCATGAGATGCCGGCAGGTAGGGTGGATTACTACGGGCCCTGATAAGTGTAAAATTCTTTTGATCCTTTTTTTGAACTGCACTGGATTTGGTATGGTGCAAATCTCTCGAACATTGTCGCTGTAACCTTTACAAAAAATTCCTGAGCAAAAGATGGCAGCTTTGAGTAGAAAAAGTGTTCGTTGCTTATAAAGCGCTTAATTTGTTCGGCGCGATATTCATTCCTGCGATTGATACCGAGCTTAAATTTTGTGTTGCGTATGCGTTTTTCGGCTATGCTCTTTCACGTAGCACCAACGGTTTTTTGTGTTTTTTAAAAAGCCTCAAAACTCTCAAGAAAGTTGTGTTCGATGCGATTAAAGGCACCGTCCACCCTAAGTTGAGTGTGTTGAGCTTCTGGCAGCATATAATAGTAGGCCCCCTATCAATCCAATACCCAAGTCGCGGCGCAAAATGCCGCTTCGGAAGCGAGAAAATTGCTTCGGAACAGCGAAGATGCACGAGGACCCCCGTCCATGCCCGCCCTCCCCCATCCATGCCCGCCCATTTGTGCGCGCCCGTCCAATCACCGTTCCGGAAAGCCGGCCTGTAAGGTTCTCCGAAACGGGGATTGTCGGGGTTTTCGTGCATTCTTGACTTCATGTTCGGAATCGGGACATGAAAAGGCCCTGAAACGACAAAAAAACATGGAAGTCAAAAATCTGGGTGAAAGGTGCCTTTAACCGCACTGTATACTTTATATGTAGGTAATTGTGATCTGTGTCGTTTATTTGCAGAGGGGAAAAGGAACACCAAATAGATATTGTTTGCATTTGTTTGTACTTGAGATGTGATTCAATTAATCATCTGAAGAAAGAAAAAGGGACAAAATTAAGTAATTCTCAATTTGATAATGTATCGATAATCGTAGATTTCAAGCACAATTTTAGTATTAGAGGTAATCCACTAGTAACACTGTTAATGTAAGCTTGAAACTAAAAGTATGATCTATAGCACACAGTGTATAGGTCATTCATAAAATCGTAACGACGGATTTGACTGCGGATTTTGCGCCCACAGGAGCATGAAACGCTCATAAAAGAAGGCATTACCTCATCACTTCAACAGTCACTTCCAGTGTCCAAATTCTATCATACGTAAGCAAAAACTATTCGACTAGAGATGAAAACCAAGAATATGCGGTTTTCGGAAGTGGCGTACGTGCAGTGCGCATCTACAGGGTGTCCCAAAAGTATGTATACACTGTTTGTTCGTTAATATCTCTTTTCCCATGAAGTCTTTTGCCCAACTTCAGGTACCAATTTGTAGAGCTGGCTTCAACTTAGATTGACAGTATTGAGTCACCGGTCGCTCTTCTTACTGTAGGATTACAGAGAGTTGAAAAAGGTTGTGAGCCATTGGAGGCTCTATTTTGCTTCAGAAAGCAGACTGAACAACCAGAAAACTTTTATACTAGGTCAACTCAAGCAGCTATGACCAAATGTGTTGTACGCACTTTACCGCAATGCTTGCTTCGTAAGTTATGCCAGGTAAACCGCAATAGTTGATTTTACAATCCTCCATGAAATCGTAATTACACCATTTGAAAAGCTTTGCAAACTCGTAGAAAGTTGAATAATAAAAGCAGGGAGCGTAAAAACCCTAGTACACCATTTTTCAAATTTTTTGGAAACTTTTTGAAACACGGTTGATCCGCAATGACGCTCTGAGCTGAAAATTTCTACCGTAATCCTACAGTAGTGAAAAGAGATCAATGATTCGCTCTATATTGTAATAAGTTGAAGCCAGCTCTACAAAATGATACCTGAAGTTGGGCAAAAGGCTCTTCGGCAAGACCGATATTAACGATCAAACAGTGTATACATACTTTTAGAACACCTTGTGCAACTCAATGTGCTAATACACCTTAGTACAGGACTTAAGATATTGGCGGCTATTAGGTAAATTACACAGTTAATTTTCCTTGCTTCTACAAAACATGACCGAGTTGAGGATTGAGTAGCTTTTTAAATGCGGTTTGTATTTGATCAGGTTTGTAGTACACGAAGTTTGGGAGATGAAGACGCCAATTGGAGAGAGATCTAGCCATGTTTAAGATTAGCACTGTACAAACTCATTGAAAAGGAAGTTTTTGAGAATCGACAATCATATTAGATTTTCATTGATGAAACTGCAAAGGACTATCACTCACCTGAGCAGAACCGAATATGTTGAAGACGACAAGGAGAATTGAATATTTCAAATGTTTGAGCATGGTCGAGTAATTATCTGAATAGCAACCTTAAGAATCAAACTGCAAGCATGCAAACTTCAGAAAACGCAACGTATATAAGTAGGGGTTGAGGTGCACCATTCTGGACTTGTAACCTTGTGACAATTGAATATCATTCTCTAAGCGTACAGACACTGATGCTTCGCCGAAATGATGACAAATCTTGCAGACTGATATTTACTGTACGATTTTCGAAAAACTCTGCAGTATTTTCTTCTTGTCGAGCAATGCTGTTTGCTCTCTTACCTGCCGTTGCACATGTGTTCTTAGAACCATAACTTCGTGCAAAATTCGGCAGACAATGTAGTGAAATAGATAGACAGAGAAAACTTTTTCTGTTTACACACTCTATATATGTTAGATGTGGAACGTTTGCGGTAATAGCAAACCGTAAGATGACGTTTGGTGTCCAGATCATGACTGAAAAACGATTTTTGATTTCTATCATCTTCATGGATGCTACAATCTATTTCAAGCGAGAGAAGGCCAAAAAACGTCGGCGTGTTCTCGCGTCCGCAGCGCTGCATATGCACACTGTCGAAGAGAGCGATAAGTAAAGACAGAGCACACAAGCGAGTAGGCATGACGCAAATCGATGCGATGGGAATGCTCATCACTTCAATTTTGGCCTGATTGTGCCAAAATGGGACAGACTGCATAATGTTACCGTGCAGACCTACACCATTTTGAATATGGTCTTGGTTTGTAAAGTCGGGCATTATTTGCTGTGTTCAATTTGCCGTCAGTAATCTAGAAAGACTTCTAGGAAGCAATATCTATTGGAAAGCTGCAAATTTTTGTAGTAGACAGCTGGGAATCAAAAGCAAAACGCGGACGTAAACAATCTTACGAAGGGAAACCGGTTTGCAGCAGCTAGAGAACATTTCTGCAAAACCAATGAACACTCCAAAGCGACTAACAAGTAACGATCGGTTTGTCTGGTTTGTGCTCCAACAAGCCATTCGGGTCAAAATGACTTTGCCAGAGTTTGCGTCATGCGTGGTCAATTGTGCGTTAAGGGCCGGGCATATTTCACGCGAATCCAGTCGCGACGCGATTTGGCATTCTGCCAGAAGTCTTCAGATCTAACTCTAGCAAACTGCACATGCATAGTTTGTATAACTTGCGTAGATTGATGATATATGCTATCTTCTGTGCATTCAAAATATACTTACAGTGACTTATGGACAATTGGAATATTGCCAAATCGCGTCGCGACTGAAATCGCGTGAAGTATGCCCGGCCCTTTATGCGTGGTCAAATGGATTTGGCGTTTCCATACAATTTCTGCTATCTGCAGGAGTCATTATCAACTTTGAGCATCAGTGCAGGCGGATTCTAAGCAGTGCTGCTCCTGATTACTCCTTTCTGTCTGATTTATCTCTGAGAATAGTTCCTTATTAAGATTTTAAGGCCTGGCCACGTCACGCTCCGCTCTATCAATGTGGTCCAAACTGGGTTGCTGAGCCACTTTTCGCAAGCGGCACGATTGCCAACCATAAGAGTATGGGTCAATTGCTCCCCCCCCTCATTCCTCAGACTAAAGCTGTGACCCGACAAGAAAGGCCTTTTACGTGGGTCCTCTACTCTGAGTCTGAGAAGTTGCAAGGAAAGATAATCGAGAAATCATTCAACCAGGTATCAACCATAAGGCCCCGGACAGACTTCACGCGACTTAATCGTCGGATCTAATCGCCAAGATTTCCATTAATTTTCATTTCACATTTAAAAATTTCGGGCTGGAAAAGTATCACAACCGAATGCAAGTTGATCGGCATGGAATGATGTTGTAACAGTTGTCTCGTCGCGATTCGGTCGCGACGATCAAATCGCGTGAAGTCTGCCCGGGGCCTAAAACAGTCGAATTCGAGTCATTCAGAAAGTATACTAGGAATTTCACACTTCATTATTCAGAAGTCGAATATTCCGTTTGTATCAAACATTGTCTGAAAGACACATATTCGAGATTTCGTTTCGAAAAATATTCGGCAGTCGTTCTAGTCGAATTTTTTGGTTATCGAATAGTTGTTCTTGAAGATTTGGCATTGGCCTTGCATTTGGTCTCAATGAGCAATATTGCTTGTTGTTGTTTCTGCTGGTAACTGGATGTGGACTTCAAACCAACAACTAGCCACTCCTGCGCAAGCATCTATAATATTAGGTTGGTGCAAAAGTAATGCGCGTTTTGCGAGTTCTCACTTTGACGTGCTATAGCTTTCTAAAAAATCCATATTTTCCAGTGCGGCAAAGTTCATCGAGGCATCAAACCTTTCTCTATAAAGCGCACGTTGCCTTAGATTAACTTCGCAAATCGGTGGAAAAATATGGATTGAGAAGCAAAAAAAATTTTTTCGGAAACCTCGTCTTTGACTGATCATAACTTCCTTCAAGATGTGTCGGTATAAATGATAAGTTGACTGTCTTGTAGCCGCAAGCCAGTAGTACAAAGAAAAAGTACAAATGGGCTCAAATAAAGAGTATTTGCGAAAAGGAATAAAAATAATATGCAAAATTTTCCGCTTTTTCGACATTTTTTGTAGCCCTCAAAATCACAAAATATGGAGATTTTTAATTTTCTGTGTAGTTAGCAGCTTTAACATTTCTGCAAAAACTGTCAACAAGAGGTCCATCCTTACACTTACAGAAATGAGCAAAACCTTGGCGATTACCCTCTTCAAATAAAATCTATGGGCCACAGAATGGCCAAAACCATCACTCATGTTGAGGCGCAGAGATCTCAGTCCAAGTAATTTCTAGAGAAACAGTAAAGTATGCATACCGTAGAAAATTTCTACTACATACAGTATTTAAATTTTCAAAAGAATGCCTTTACTCGCGCTTGAATTCTGGCCAGTGAAATTCTGGTTTTGTATGAAGCTCTATAAATTTTTAACGAATGAGGCTAGAAGCTTCTTTTAACCATTATTGAATAGAGCTTGGAAGAAGCTTTTTGACAATATGCTAGCTGAGTTTCATAGGAGAAACTTTGATGGAGAAAAGCTATCTTGAAACAAGGGCTAGAAAAACGCGCATTACTTTTGCTCCAACTTAATAGTAAACTACGCAGCTTTTTTCACAACTGAAGACAATACTGGAAAGCAAATTCCACCACCGCTACTCTTTTCTTGTACAAACATTATCCATGCAAAATGATATCTTACAAGTATAAAAACGGTTGCACATGCAGTTTCTATTTCATTGTATCTCATTCATAACCTATCGATGTTAGGTGGGTTGCATGAAGCATCAGCCCAAATTTACTCAAACTTTGAACGATATCAGCATGCGGGCATGCCCGCCGGGCTACCGTTCTTGTGCGCAGTGCTCAATATCCAAAAGACAACTTTTTTTCACTCTCACTGAAGTCCATTTTCATTGCTTAAGACATCTCGCTAAGAAGGAAAGTGCTAATTTGAAGTTTGCTGTGATTGGTTATGGTCACAGTTACGAGAAAAAGACTCTCGTCGACTGCAGGGAATCGCACGAATCGTCGTAGGCCAAACGCCGTATGAGTGTCTTGCAGGCTGAAGTGCACTCGCGCGCTTTGTCATCCGGCGCCCGTACGCGGCAGCCACGTTGCGAGCGCGCTCGAGTGCGTTCAGCCTGCGGCGAAATGGACGATTTCGTACAGTCGACATTACTGCTGGCAGTGTCATATCCCACGTCGTACCTTTGTCGACTTTGCTCCTTCAAAGCGCGAGTGTCTCGCTCGCTCTTGCTATTGGGTTGATAGCTTTTTTGATCACGTCGGTCCACATTTGCGATGCAGTTATGCGTCTTTGGCGAAATGTACAAAGAAGATGAGTTCACTCAAATAGAGTAGAATCTGAAAAGATTGGATAGAATTTGTTCAAAATACACGCACTGATTTGCAAGTGTTGTTCATGACTCTTGTTTGGAAGGATCTTTTAGATCCCGATTTAGTTCAAACCCGTTTGGTCGCAGCTCAAATATCAGATCTATGAGACCTAAAAGGAAAACCGGTGGGAAGCTCTTTGCAGTCAACGCTTGTCAAAGAGGTTGTTCTTTGATAAACAGCAAGAGTAAGTGTGATCGGCTCCCCTATTCGTGTGAGCGGATTGCGAACTTTTCCTGATAATAAGGACAAACTCTCTCGCTATCACAAACAGCCACGTTTTGAATTGCCATGACTTCACCTCCACATCAATCTGGGACCCAGTGCGTCACCTCTGCGAAGCAGAAGTGACGCACTGGCTCTACTCTCTATCCCTCCCCTTTCTCGCATCATAATCGTTTTAAAACTCACTGCAAAATGCTGATTATCATAACTTATAATAACGGGCTAAGGGTGTTTACGTGACTTTGTGTGTGTGTCTGTCTGTCTGTCTGTAACGAAATTCATACAGCGGGATCCAGCCACCATCCCGAGCCCAAACTTTACATAGCGCATGCTACCAAGGTAGAACTCCAGCATGCAAAAGCACGAACGGATTCGTTGAGTGGGTCCCTCAGAATTTGCGCGCCAAACGGATCCACTTGGCTTCTGGCCCGCAAAATTGGGTCCGTATCAACGCTTTTTGCAAAGCCGTGGATGTGTTTAGCAGGTTGATGTGTAAGCCATGGACTTTAGACCAAAAAGTGACCAAAAGTTTGCTACTTTACGAAAACGACGCCAAAAAGAAATGGTCGCGTAAATGGTCAATCCGCCGTGGTTTTACCTGAGCATTTGAGAAGATTTTTGCATAGAGATGTAGCTCACGATGATTGTTCTTACGGCGACTACCAAGCCAAAAAAGTTTCAAAACCTGTTCAAATTTGCATTTGTTCTTCATTTTCCAAAGTTTCATCCACGCAAAATACCGATCTCACACGGGAAAGCTTAAGAAATGAGTAATTCTTTACGAATCATTCGTGTAGGCGTTCATTGCGCGGTATGTTTCAATGACATGTTATGCGGGAAGGGGTGCAGTCGATGTCAATTACGAACTCCCTTTCGCATGGGAACTACGCATGCGCAACGCAAGGGTTCTGCATGC